AACAGATGGGAGAATAACTAAAAGAAACCAAGGGAAAGTAAAAAATAAAATAAAACCATAAACTGAAACTGAATTTTGAGGTGAGTGTCAGTTGCAGTTAGTGAAGCTTCTCTTAAATTGCACCCACAACAGCTACAACAACCACAAAAACAACAACCACCACACACACTCATATCAACGAAACAACAACATCCAACCCACAAACAAAATGCTTAGACAGCCAAAAAGTGAAATATTTAAATGCAAAATGCAAATAGATTAGCACTCAGTATACAAAAATGCTTATAGCGTGCAAAAAAAAGTCCGTCAAATACAACAAAAGCAAAATCCGAATCTCAGCCAAAAAAACAATCAGTAACAACAGTAACATGGGAACAATAACAAAAAGGCATCATCAACTGCAACAAAATCAGTTGAATTTATCGAAGAGGAATGCAGAGTAGTCACTTTTGGTTGCGGGCCAAAAAGTAAGATTTCCTTGGATAGGTTTTAATTAAAGCAACGTTTGAATGTATAATTGAGGACATGAATTGAGCATAAAAATAGTTCAATTAAAAAGCAAATGAGTTCAAATATGGTTATTCTTTTATAGAAATATTTTAGGGGTATTACAACAAATTCTAGTAAAGGCGAAAGATGTGATTTAATTTATTAAATTTAATTCGTTAAAAATTACTGACAACACTGTTTGCTCTTCAACTTTGTTAAGTTAATAAGGCTTGAAAAGGGCTTATCATTAATGAAATTCTTGTGGTATTTTTGACCTTTTGTTTTTTTCCTAAAAGCGCAATTATAAATGAAAATACCAACATTTGACAGATTGGGATTATATGTACATCTAAAATAAATTAATTTAACTTAATTTTAATTAGGCAGGTGACGTTACCCACACTCATTTAAACTCCATATCACTTAGCCAATTTAAAATGCGCTTTAGAGAGCTCTCGGTGTATTAGTTACACGTCACAGCTTCAGTGTTAGTCGCAAAATTTATGTGTGTGTGTTTGTGTGTGTGCAATGTCCACCCCCCAAAAACTCCAACAGCCCGAGAATGCCGCCCAAACTATGCAACAAATTTGTGAAATGAATTACATTTTCGATTAAACACACAAAATCAATAGCTCCTAGAATGGAGACGGACTTTCGGGGCGATGGGGGTTACGGGGCCAAAAACTAAATGGCAACCGCAACATCAACGCGAAATGTGTCGCATATGGGCGACCAGGCTGTGAATAAGTAAATATAGACCGCACTCCTGCGTGGGCGAGCTGGTATGCGTGTGTTTGTATATATGTGTGTGAGTGTGTGCTTAAGTGTGTTTGCCACAGGATATATGAACGGGTGTTTGGCTATTTTAAAATGCTACCGACTGAGGATCTTTGGGGAATGGGGCTGAATTTAATTAAATCGTTGACCAACACCAGTTGACGTTGATGTTGCCTTGTTTGTTGTTTTTGTTGTTGTTATTGTTGTTACTGTTCATCTTGTTCTTCTTGTTATTCCGTGTTTGTTGTTGTTTGTTTGCATGTGCAACTGTGCGTATGAGTGACATTAATGCGAACATTGAGGCTGGCCCACGCAGAAAGTGCGTGTTAGTGTGTGTGTGTGAGAGAGTTTGTTTGCTGGCGCTTGAGTGTGTATGTGTGAGTTGATGTTTGTGTGCCCGTTTGCGGCCATTTGTGTGCTATTTATGCGCCTGCGTGTGTCTGTGTGTGTGTGTCTGGTGTTTGTGTGAGTTCGAGCGTTGGTTTAAAAATAGCACAAGCTACGGCTGCCTTCTCCCATTTCTCCCGCTCCGCCGCCAATGATGATGATGATTTTAGTGTCCTTTTGCCAGCCCAACGCCCATTACACCTACCCCCTCACCCCTTACCCCTCCCCTTTCCCCTTTCTTCAACCCCTCTCCCTTTCCTGACAGCCGAAAACTGGCTTGAATTTATGGCCAAAAATATAAAACAGGAAGCAGCGACATACACACACGCACACCCGAATGTAAAATTTGTTTGATTTTTCGTTTTCTTTGTGTGTTGCACAATGCGATGATTGTGCGCAGCCTTTCCCCAACAATAACAACAACGAAAATGCGACAAGAACAACAACAACAACAGCAACAACAAAAAACAACACGAACAACAATAAGAAAGGTCGCCAAGGGACAGAAATGACCGTGTTTTTGTGTACATTATTGATTTTTGCTTTCTTTTCTTGGTCTTTTGCGCCTTTCACTTGCCCCCTTTCGTTGCCCCACCACTGCTTCCCCCTAAATCCGCCCGCCGAACGTTCAACCCCCCTTCACCACCCCTTCTAAAAGCAGATTGTGCGTGTGGTTTCTCAAATAATTTACTTTACTTTGGCTTTGTTTTACTTTCGTGCCTTCTTTTGTTTACATTGTTATCGTTTGGTCTTGCTGTTTTTATGCAATTTTTTTTATTCTTTTTTTATTTTTATTTCACTTGTTTTTGTTTTGTTTGCCGTCGTCGTCGCTACTGCTGCTGTTGTTGTTGCTATTGTTGTTGTTGATTGTTGTTCTTGTTGTTGCTGCTGTTGCCCATTATGCGCACAATAAACGTTTTGTATCGTGACCAAAGTCAAATGAAAGTATGCCAGGGGTATGGCCCACAAAAATGCAAGTGTATGTGTGTCTGTGTGTCGGAAAACTAGTTCTTTTTCGCACCCAAGGCGATTGTCTGAGTGAGTGTTGGCATGCTGCTGTGCCTGTGTGAGTGTGCATTTGTTTTAAAGAAAATGGTTGAAAATGCGTTTGCAACAATTTTCATTGCCTACTTTCAAGGGCAAAAAGTAAATTGCAATTCTTATTGAGAACAAATGTACCCGTAATGTAAAGTTGAAAGCTTTTAGCTGCTTATGAGCACTCGAAAACATCAGACCTAAGCTATAAAACAACATTTAATTTAGCACAGTAATATATTTGGGTAATTATAATAATAAGTATAGGATAATGTATTTCCTTGGCGTCCTGAATACTTGTATATTTAACCAAAAAGTAGATGTAATTTAATCGTTTAAAAAAATATTGATTAAAACACCCCAATAATTTAATGAATTTACCCTTAAGCTAAGCTAGTAAGTTAGTTAAGCATTAGTCTAACTCACATTTACCACTTTTACTCACCTATGAAATATTGTTTTCATATATTTTTCTCCACTCTTTCTCTCTATCTGATCTGCCCTGAAAATGAAACTCCAACCAACTTGCCCGCCACAATAAACCATAATAACCAAACCCAAAAAAAAAAAAAAAACGAAAACCCAATGTGTAAATTGAAATGAAACCAAAAATAAACATCGAATAGCAGGTAATTTTGGCGGCGTTCAAGGTGTCCAAACCGTTCTCTCGCCCGGCGATCTACAGATTCATGCAAATGTAAGCGAAAAGAATTCAAACCAGGCCCAAAGGCGAATTTAATGCAAATTAATTTGAATGTGTGTGCGTCTCTTCGATGTTATGTTTTCTTATAAGTTTACCACCACATGTCACAAGCGAAAGCAAGGAATGTGCGATTTTCTTAGTTGTTAACTTTGTTTCCTTTGTTCGAGCACTGTCGTTCCACTCACACACACTTTCTCCCACACACACTCTCCTTCACTTTCTCCTCCCTAGAACCTATTGATAATAGCCATTAAGCTGGTGATGCAATCAAGTCCGTATACATTTTTTTGCTTCAAATTCTGCTCTCTCTCTCTCTCTCTCGATCATCACGTGATTTCCTCCAAACACTCCACACACTATCTTTCTGGCTGTGAACACACGTTATCGTTACTTGACGAGATTTTCGAACACTTTTGTATCTGTTACTTTCTGCCTTTTTTATGTATCTTCTACGTTTTTTAACCCTACCTGTAAATGTGAACTGAAACAAAAAGAAATTTTGACAAAACAAGAAATCTTGGTGAATAATTTGCATGGATATCGTAACGCTGTTTCCCGTTTCCTTCTAACTTCAACCAGAATTTACACTGTCCAACAAACACACACACACACCCGAACATTCAGAACATTCAACAGTTAATACTGTACCCGTGGGCCACCAATTCACCCCAGAGTTTCTGCCCCCTGAAAGTCTTAGCTTGTAACTTAATGCTCTTGCAACTTTTAGCCGCAACAGATAAGTATTTCAATGCCTTGTACTTCTCCGAACCCCTGAAAACCGGGCACTTAACCCTTGAGTCATTTTCCCCGGCCCCTGGCACTTTAGTCCCAGCTATGGAGACACTCGTAGCTCTAGTCGTAGGTCTATTATGATATCGTACTTCCCATTAGCTTATTCATGCAGTTGTGCTCAGAACTTTGGTAAAGCCGCAACTTTTTCGAAAATTTTATATAATTTGATAAGACCTAAATACATCTTGATCTCTTAAAAGAATTTCAAAAACATTTAATTAGTTGGTCCAAGATAATCACAACCTATTACGAAACTTAGAATGTCATCAGCACTCTCTCTTTAAAATGTTTATCGAACACACTTTTCTGTAGGTAGGGATATACAAATCGTATTTCATATGAACTTAGGTTCAAATTAGTTGCACTAAAACTATCATAGATTATAGCTTTAAAAAAAAATTCGTTTTACTTTTCACTCATGAAAATAAATGAACATTTTCTAGCTTTTATATGAAATTTTCGAAAAATCATTTGCCACAAGAACTCGAATCACAGGGCTGGATCAGAACCGATACCAAAAACAAAAAACTAAGTCTTATATCATACGTATTTATTTGCTTTGAACTTATGCTTTCTCAACCGATCGATTACCATTATGATTGTGTGCATTTGTTGAAACATCTGAAAAGGACAACAAACTATGGCAGGCAAGCGGCGCGTTACCCCTGAAGTCCAACCCCCCAACCCAACCAACCAAAAACCCCTTGAAACCCAGAAAAAAAAAAAGAAAACCCTCGATAAATCAAATCCCGCAGAGCAATTCCCGTAGTAGCGTTTATAGCCACACCCAATCAACATCTACCAATCCTCCAAACAGGCGGGCGCCTCCAGGTGCGCACCTCATTGGATCCGTGGCGCCAGCAGCGCAGCCTGAACGAACGGGATCTGCTGAGCAGCGGCGGTGGTGGCGGCATCAGCGGTCTCAGCGGTGCCGGTGCTGACTTCCGCCATCGGCTGTACGCTTCCGCCGATCAGCGGGATCGCTACGAGCTGCAGCATCGCGAGCGTTTGGAGCAATATCCGCTGACGCGTACCGCTCGCTTGGACGTCCAGCAGCGCAACTCGCTGAACCGCAGCAATCACGAGCGGCAATTTTCCGGCGGCGGCGGAGGAGTAGGAGTGGGAGGAGGAGGTGCAAGTGGAGCAGGAGGTGGTGGTGGTGCTGCTGGCGTCTATCGTCGTGCCCCGCCATTGGCAGCCGCCGGCGGCGGTGGCAGCAGCAGCAGCAGCACCACTAGCAGCAGCTACTATCCCCAAACGAAGCCGCAGATTGTGATTGGACAGGGTTACGATCGAGGATCGGGATCGATAGCCATGGCAGCGGCAGAGGCTCAAGGTCAGCCGGTGCGGGGTGGCCAACGTGTTGGCCTTTTGGGCGCCACACGAGGCGCCGGCGGTGGCGGCGGCAGCAGTTCCGTTAGCTCCACAGAGGCGGCCTACTGGGACGAACCGGCCAACAGTTCCTCCTCGTCGGCGGCCCAGGATTCGCGACGCTTCACCGAGCGCAGAATAAAGAAGACGGTGCGATTTGATGCCCATGATGAGGAGGCCTCCATTCTGGCGGCCAGCAGCTCACTGCCACCGGTCACGGCAATCCTGCCGTCGACGGCCGTCGATGTGGGTGCGGCCACCATTTTGAGCAGCGGCAAGAGCCTCGAAGCTGGCGGAGCAGCGGACTGGTCGCGTTGGGAGGCCGAGCGGCAGGGCAGCCAGGACTCGGCCACCAAGGACTCGGGCATCGATACGAGCAGCACGTTCACCAGCAGCGAGGACTCCAATCGAGGAGATGGGCCCAAGGTACACAGAAACCTGCTGGAGGATACAAAGAACCAGAAAAAAAGAAAAGAAATCCAAGATGGGCAAGAATGCATTGTGTCTGTGTAGAGTCTCTCTGTCTCTCTCTCTCTTTGTCTCTTTATTCCCCCTCTGGTCCCCACTTTCCGTTTGTCTGTGTGGATATAAATACCCAATGGAAGTCCCCAAACCAAAAAAAAAGATATCCCCACCAACTTTCTCTGTTTGTTGTTCTTGTCATGTCCAGAAAAACAACCATAATCAATTCCCCCTGAACATAATCAAGCAATAATATCGTTTTTGGTTATCACTCCCAGCTCGCAGCTCGCAACCAACTTTCAGCTATTATTACAAAAACATCTTGACAATTTCAGCATTCGACCTCACTGCTAAAAAAAAAGAAACCCAGAGAAATTCGAAACCCACAATGAACCAAACTTGCATGTCCCAGTAAACCGATATTTTCAAAACCTCTAAGTGTTGTGCTTGCATGAAGATCTTCACCCCAAAATGAAAAGAATCCCCAATTAGCACGCCCTGCATGACCTCTAAATGTCGTTAGTCCACACTGTTCTCTAGCATTTCAAATTTTTACTGATCCGTGCCTCGAGTTGAGGCAACTCTTGAAACGTGTGTGTTCTCAAAAAAATAAAGTAGGAACAGCAAAGAAACAACTATGTATCCATATCTATGCGCTATGCAAACTATTCGTGATTGAGTAGAAAATGTTTCTAGCCTGTAAGACAAAAACCAAAAACATGAATGTGAAAAAGTGTACAAACTGTTACTTTCTACTGTTATACATATGTTTTCGTTTGCCAAACTCTAATTGTAAGTTTAACCTAGGGTTTAAGCTCTCTATATGTTTAAGCGGTGCAAAAAAAAAAGCTAACTAAAAACAATTCTACTTCCCGCATACGATGGCTCCCCACCGACACCACCACATCCAACAACCAAAATAATATATATCAATGCACGATCATCCGCAATCCGAAATGTAAACTATAAACCACCAATATCCCACCAAAAAAAAAAAACCAAAAATACAATCACCAAACCACCATTCCACTCCCAAAAATCGTAAATCGATCGATGCATATATAGAATCCGGTGAATTGGCAAACATCCGCGGACAATACTCGCCTGATCGGGCATATGATATTGCGTAAATACTATGATGGGGAGGATATATTAGGCTTAAAGGTCAACGGCGGTCAGATCCTCGGAACGGGAACGGGATCTGGATCGGGAGGTCCATGCGGGGCCATTGTGGAGAAGGTGAAGCGCGGATCGGTGGCCGATCTCGAGGGAAGGATTCGACCAGGTAAAGTGCATCCACCATCCACAAAACCATTGACCACCACATCTCACGCTCTCTTTTCTCTCTCTCTCTATTTCTATCTATTTATCTCTGTCTGTGATCAAAACATCCAAACACCACATCATCCACCGACCATCCATCGATCGATCGGCGAACAGGGGACGAGATCCTCGAGTGGAATGGCCGCGGGCTGCACAACAAGAGTGCCGACGAGGTGTACGACATCCTCGACGAGAGTCGCCTGGACGCCCAGGTGGAACTGATTGTCAGCCGGCCGATCGGCGGCAGCGGCGGTGGCGGTGGTGGAGGCGGCAGCGGTGGCAGCAGCAGCAACGTCAGCCCCATCAGCGGCGCCTCCGGCGGATCATCCGCCAACAGCGTCCCCGCGCGCCGCTCCTCGGCCAACTTCCCGCACAGCGGACTGGCCAGCAGCATGGCCGGCAGCGCGGTGGTCAGCAGCGGCGGACGATATCTCCAGCGCAAAGGTACTATATAGTGCATAGAATATAGTCCCGGAAAATTAGATTCGTTTCGAGGTTGTGTGTGTCTAGGTGAAAACGTGTGACTGAGTGTGATTGAAAGTGCAGATAAAAATCAGTGGGTTAGGAAAAGTAATAATTTCCATATCTAATCAAAAACTATTTCATTTACAAACAACATCCATGGTATTAGGAAATATTTACAAAGCAAATATCATCCATTTCTAATTAATTACAGAAATATATAAATTTAGTTATTTACATGAATTCTTACAAAAATATATAAATTTAGTTATTAATATGAATTCTCGATACCAATTGAAATGATACAAATAATGTTTACAAATTTAGGATTCTCTTGAAGTTTTAAACAACTACTACGAAATCCCATTACTATAACTTTATAGTTCGAATAATTCTTTTATAAGAAAACTTCCGATAAATGGTATAATCTTTTGTTTATTTTTAACTAAATTTCAATTGGAAACCAGTAGTTATTTATCTTCAATAATATTTTTATTGGAAACACTATAGTTCAATAATCAGTGAAAGGGTAAAAGTGTTTTGTGTCCCAAAAAGGATAGTCTCATCCAATTCAGTCACCACAAATGAACAGTACCATTAACAATACGCTTACCCGAACTAACTGCTACTCCAAATTAAATATTTGACTAATTTGATTTCCAAACCCATAATTAACTCAAAACCAAAACCAAATCAAAATCCATTCACAGCACCCGCGGTCGAGGCGATTGAAATCCACCGCGACAAGCCGAGCGTGCTGATCACCTCGCCCGGTTCGCCGGACATCCATACGAGTGCTTCCGGACCGGGATCGGTGTCGGGATCGGGATCCGGATCCGGATCAGGATCGGGAATCCGGCAACGTGGCGGCGTCGGGCAGACGCAGCGCCTGGGACCAAGCCACAGCACCCACAGCCACAGCAGCAGCGGGAGTGGCAGCGGCAGCGGCAGCAGCACCAGCAGCGTCCACGCCCCCCACTCCCAGTCGCACGGCCCCGCCCACGGTCACGCCCACGCGTCCGCGTCCGCTTCCGGTACCGCCCCCGGCGGCCTGCACGGCACAACGACGGCGGGCCACCATCACCACCATTACCACCCGCATCCGCACCAGCACCCGCACCAGCATCCGCTCCAACACCACCAGGCTCCGCCCGCCGCCGCCCACCTGCCGGGCCACCACGGGGTGGGCGGTGGCATCGGTATCGGCATCGGAATGGGCAGTGGCTCAGGCACCACCACGCAGCCAATCCCCATCGAGGGCCGCCTGCAGCTGAAGCTCGGCTACGACCAGAACACCCTGCAGCTGATCGTGACCCTGGTCTGCGCCACCGGCCTCTCCCTCCGACAGAGCGGAGCGGGCCGCAATCCCTATGCAAAAGTGAGTAAAACTAAGTAATAATAATATTAGTAATATGTACGTAGTATCAATGAAACAACAATTGGCTTTTCAAAAGTAAAGTTCAAAATTGTAATACCGAACAATTTTTAAATTTATATTTATATTAATTCGACTTTTTTTTATAATTCGAAGTTTTTAAAAAGTTATTATTGTTTAAAAAATCAAATCAAATAAACAGTAGAACAGTATCAATAATATTTGAAATGATTTCCGGTTTTATTTTAGTTTTTATACTGCTTTAGAATTATTGTAGAGCATTAGGAGTTTTTTATTGACTAAACGCTGATTATTTTTCAGGTGTTCCTTCTGCCCGATCGGAGCCACAAATCAAAACGGCGAACGAAGACGGTGGGCACCACCTGCGAACCCCGTTGGGGTCAGACCTTTGTTTACTCAGGTCTGAGACGCTGTGATCTCAATGGCCGATTGCTGGAGGTGAGTTCTCTCAATAAATAAATTCAAATGAATTCAATCAATTTAATAACATATTTTAACCACCCAGGTGACGCTGTGGGATTATGTGCGGTACGGGGCCAACGACTTCATCGGCGAGGTGGTAATCGATCTGGCGCACCACATCCTGGACGACGAGGCCGAGTGGTACCAGCTGCAGCCCCACCAGGACACCTCCTATCTCGTATGTGTGGGCCGCGGCTCTTTAAGTTCGTTCATTTGGTTTCCATTTTGCGTTCGTTCGTTTCCGTTTCCGGGTTGTTATGAACAGGTGTTGGTAAACACTCAAGAACGATGGAAACATACAGAGTTCAGGTTCACGAACGAAGTTTTGGCGAGCGAAAAACTTAACACAAAACTGGTTGAAGAGAAATGGAAAATGTTATCGTTTAATTATGTTTTATTTTCTCCTTTGTTTGTTTGTAACGCTTAATGTTTAGGTTGTTCTGGCAGTCACTTTTACAAAATGTGTCTGTTTTAATAAGAAAATTGTTCAGTAACATCTCAAACTTGATAAACATTTGTGAATGTGAAATCCAGAACCGACCTGGTAATACCCTTTACCCACTATCCACCCCCCGCAGCAGCTGCCCGGTTTGAAACAAAATTATTAACTCAGCATTGTCATAATCTGTTTATTTTTTCGTTGGTTTTTGTCGTGCACCCGCCAATACATCACCATAAATAAAAAATCAAAAACACCCAACCACCATAACCAACAAAAACAACAACAACACGTGCGTTTCGTTCCGTTAACCATACAACCAACAACATTGCGACGCTAAATTTATGACAACAACCATGAAAACAACCATAACAACAACAACAACGAAACCAACAACGAAAACAGTTACGTGACGATTGCAGCGATGTGGACGGCCTGATACTGACACCGACCGATCATTTATCACCGCCGAGCACCATGTCGCGTCTGAGCGACTCGGACACGACGTCCGACTGCGACATCGATGGAATGACGCCCGGGGCCAGCATCTCGTCGATGGGCAGCTCAGCGAGTCCGCCGCCCTTGCTAGAGGTAACATCATCAACAACAACAACAACAATAACAGCCACCACAGCAAACAACTTCAGAAAATAAACAACTTGAACAACAAGCAAAAAAACAGCCAACAACCAGCCTCTGAACAACAAACATTAGAGCAACATTACACTCAGGGCACACACAAAGAAACAGGAGCCAACGTGAATTGAATCGAATTTATTATTTTACACACATGTATATAGTACACGCAGAGAAATGGGAAGGACTTCATCCCAAAAAGCCAGAACAACTGACAGCAACAAGAGTGAGGAGACCAGAGACACTAACACCCGCATACATTAGACTTCAATCGCAGCTTGCCACTTCCAGTGGCACTCAGCCTCACGCACACACAGATACATGCGAACATTACCGCCCACCCTGCCCCACCCACTCACACGCACACACATACATGTGCCCACAAAGCATTCGACGCTGCCACCAAAATAAAAATAATACTTGATGTGCATATACTCTTGCTTACTGATTTACTGAATAATAGAAAAAAATTTGGATGAAAATGTTATTACCAGAAATGTAAAATGGATTCGTCTATGATTAACTGTGAAGTTAACTACATGTCAGTATTTATAGCAATATATCTAACCACCAAAAGATTAAAAATCAGCTACGTAAAAGGCCTTAAGATGAGAGATTAGATTGCAATAATAAAAATTAAATAGTAATGAACCATTAATACAAAATTACATTGCATTTAAAATACTAAAATTTGGTATAAAAGCAAGAGTATACACAAGTCGGTGCGTCGGAACAGTTTTTGGTGCTCTGCATAGTGTGCTTACTTGGGTTCCCATAGTTTGTTATCTCTCTCTGTCTCTATGTGTGTGTGCTTTTTCTAACTGTAACTCACATATCACATGCCATGAGCAGCATCAGCGTAAGCATCATCACCACCATCAGCCTGGCAACTCGTTGGCGAATAAAAAGAAAGAATAACTCACACATGGCCATCGTGCATCGAATGTGCTCCATCCGAGGACTCCATTGCGGTTCCAGTTCCTGTTTCTGTCAGTTATCAGTTCTCAGTATTCAGTATTCAGTATTCAGTTCGCATGCCACAAACAATCGAAAACCGAAACACTAATACACACACACGCGCAGACACCAACACAATCGCACACAGTCTAACTGGTTCATGGTCAGGGACAGAATCGGACAGAAGCCGACTGTTCATGTTTTTGGCCAAAAAAAAAAAAGAAGAAAAAAATCAAAAAAAAAGAAAACAGGACATGACACCTCCCAGCAATTGTACAAAGTATTTTGGTTATCATGATGTTTTTTGTTTCGTTTGAAACCTTTATTCAACTAATTGGTGTCGTTGTTTGGTTGTGCGTGTGTTAAATTTTTCTCTCTCTAATCTCTCTCTCGATCTACTGCCACTCTCTCTCTCTCTTCGAAGTCTAAACTGTCGTTCTACTAACTCTCTCTCTGTACTAAAAACCCGAACGAATTCAAGTCTCACTTGGTCGCGTCTTTTCAGCTAACGATAACTATAACTATTGCATTTAAGATGGAAGTTAATCTAGTCTAAGTCTAATAAGCCGAATGTTTTAAGTTAAGAATCCGTGTAAACCTAAACTTGAGAACACATACTGTCGCAGGCTCTTTCTAAGCCCAACTATCTATCTCTGTCATAAGCTCCAAGATCCACGATCGAACAGCCATTTATGATCACATGAAAACCGCTTTGCATGCCGTTGTAGAGAACCGCTTTTGCCCATATATAGTATATCCATCACTTAGCACCTGAGATTTGCCCGTCCTGCTTTCCTTTGTGGCTTCACCTCGTAGCTTTAAGTGTGTAGCATTGCGTATACTTGATGTGAGTTGAGTCGATCGAACACAGACCCTGAAAACCCACCATACCCTGAGATACTCCCACACAAACACAATGTAAGAGGCCAATATCCAAGCGCAATATTTGTTATCCCACACATTAAAACACCTTTACACTATTCTCCAGACTCTCTCCATTTCCATTTTGATCATATGTAAATTTCTCTATTGTCTACTCCTTCTTTTTCTCTCGATTCCAACCTCTCACTGAAACCCCCGAAAAAAAACCTGTTGCAAAACCCTTTCGTCCCGCTCCACCCCAAAAAAATAACCCCACTGAACACGACGATCCAGCTCGATCTAAACGAGCGGCGGTCCCGACGTGACATGTCGCCCCAGGGCCGCAAACGGGTGGCCGGGATGGTGGCCCGCGACTACCGCACTGTATCTGGCATTGGACAAAGTTACCACAATCAGGTTTGCACCAAGCTAAATTAACGAACCACCCAACAAAGTGGCCAAAATTATGGCAAAACCAACAGAACAGTACAGACAACGAAAACACTTCAAGCGAAGAACATCTTCGGGGTAGAGTTATCCTGTTAGGATTGAAAATCTATTCAGAGGATTTACTATAGCTAAAAGTACTATACCCAAATCTTTCACAAATGATTAGATGTCATTTAAAGAAACTTCCATAGTAACCAATCAATATCTTCGTTCTAATATCTAGCTGCATTTATCTGAAACGGCATAAAAAACTTATTAGCTTAAATGAAATGAAATCCAAGGGTCACTTCATTGACTCACCAAATGATCAGACCAAAACATATTTTGACCATTCTCCACCCCACAAGTTTAGCTAGTCTAGTTAGACCGAAACCACTGCCAACTTACTGCACTTTCAGTTCAGAGTTTATGCTTATCTTTTATCTAACCTAACCGATTAACCCACTAATAATATTCTAATTAACCGCGTGCGGTTCTTAATGTATTTTGATTGATTTCGTTTCGAAAGTGTATTCTTATCCAATTTGTTTGGCTCTATATCTTGCTCTCTTAACTCTTAACTCTTAACTCAGTACCTACGTATTATATATCTATGAACTTACTTGTATTAATGTTCCAGTAGAAGTTGCAGTACCAGTTAACCAAAGACACAAAATACACCCAGACACAAAAGACCAAGCACACTGTTAATGCCTGACAACTACTCAAAAAACCACTCGACCACCCAGAACCACTCACATTCTCTAGTCAGTAAGCCTCAATCCGAATGTTTGTCAGAATCCCCGGTTCCCCGGTGCGCGGGGTTCAAAAGAAACATCGGTCGAAGGGTGCACCACTAAAACACCACTCTACTTTCCATGCCACCACTCAACCTGATGCACCACAATATCACAGGCCTCTGCCACCGGCTACTATCGTCGCGGAGGTGGTAATGGTGTCGGCTCCTCCATCGGTCCCGGTGGCATGAGCCTCAGCCAGCGGAGCCACTCGGCGGCACCCAGCGACGGTTACCACAGCAGCAGCGGCGGCGGCGGAGTGGGCGGAGTGCCCTCCGGCGGTTCAGCCTACGGCTACAGGAGCACCAGTCCAAGGCGGGGCTCCCTTTCGCCACCGGACGACCGCTACATAGACTATCCAGTGCTTCCAGTTCACGGATCGCCCAACACCCCATCGGTCTACCAGGGACCGGGTGGTGCAACCACTGCGGCGGCGGCGGCTGCCTCGCAGCAGCAGCGATTCCAGTCGCGCTCGGCCACAGCCACGCCCACAGGATCCCCCAAGAAAAGGCAACTGCCACAGGTAACCCATTAAAACATTATAAGCCTTATAGAGTTAACCAAGAAAAGGTGAAATGTGGTTTTGAAAGGAGCCGTTTATTAATTAATTAATGATCAAATGTTGATCACTTAAAGATACCAATAAAGATAGAAACAATAACTTACAAAAACTTGAATCTTTAAACTGATATTTCAAACTTATTAATTTATTGTTTATTTTATAGGTGCCGCAAACCTCTCGGAGTGCCATGTTGAGGGACCGCCTCGGGCAGGACTTCGACGAGCGGTTGGCCTCCGGCGGTCGCTTTGGACGGCACCGCACACGGCAGCCGCACCACCAGGCAACGTACCGCAGCACCGGAATGGGCGGCTGGGAGCGCCACTACACGGGACTGTCCGACAGCGACCTGCACTCGATGGACGCCAGGATGCGGCCGCGACACTCGCTCTCTCCGGACAAGGACTTCATGGGCGAGTTTGGAGACTCGGACATGGAGTCGGTGGTCAGCGTGACCTCGAGCGCCTTCTCCACGCAGTCGGAGCGACCGCGCACCTCTCGCGGACTCAGGTAAGTGGCCGGCGGGCTGAGGAGAGGATGAGGGAGAAGGAGGAGGAGGAGGAAGGAGTGCCAGTCGAGCCCAAGCCATTAGCCATTAGCTAAATAAGCCAAGCTACGCTGCCAAAATTACGCTGAAATTCCGCTCTGGGCCACACGCCAATTGGCCTCCCTTTACACTAACTTTCTGAGTAGTAGCTGCGAGCAAAATCCAAAATTTCCCTGAATTAGGCTCTAAATTAGACTCCGGTATTCGATCTCGATCAGAATCAGAATCGGCGCGCTTACCGCCCAACTCTCTCTTTATAACACACACACACACACAGCAGTATCTCGCTCACACAGATACACCGACACCTTGATACGCACACTGAAAACGAAAACGAAAAACGATAGCGAAAACATAAAGTTTCTTTTCTGCATTTACTTTTTGCGTTTGCCAAACCAACCGACAAAACCAAACCGCTCAAATAAAATAAAATAAAATCAAATCTCTATGAAAATCTCAACAACAATCAACAACGCCGCTCTCGTCGCGCGTACTCTCTTTGTGTTTGTGTTTGAATGCTTCTCTCGCGTGCTGTGCTCACCACACGCTTACACGCCAACCACTCACCACAAAACTCAACAACACATAACAACTCACCACGAACTTCGCTAAAAACACTTGACAATGCCACCACAATGTGTCAACTCACCTCGAACCAAACGCTGACCTCGGACGTTGTTCGTTCTCTTCCCCCTCGAATGTGCCTGGTTATTTGTTCAACAACAACCCACCATACACTCAAATCTCACCACACACCGAGTCCTGTCTATTTTGAATAACCTCACGCTCATGGGGAACTGTATGTGGCATAAAAATCGCATATTATCCCCTTCCCCAACACTTTGCATGCCCCTGAATCACAAACAAAAAATGTTTCTTCACCACAAACCACCCGAACCACCGCTACCAACCGTTACCACCCGATACCACCCGTTACCGTTGCCCGCAATAACCGTTAGCTTCCCCCGCAACTGGCGCAATCTCTTTGGCGTCCGCAACAGTTTCCTCAGCGGATCCGGAGGCGAACCGATCACCGGATTGCGACTACATCACTCGGAACCGGGAAGAGCGAACACCATCGAGGTGGACGACTGCGACTATCTGCCGGCAGGTGGCGCCCAACAATTGGTGTTGCTGGAACAGTTGGAGCAACTGCAGCAGTTGGCCGCTCTGGCGGCAGCCGATTCCCCACCCATTTCCGCGGGGATAGGAATGGTGGCGCCACCGCATCAAGTGCTGGTCACCGATGCCAATAGCGGCCAGTTGGTGGAGCAGTTCTACGTGGAGCCCGGCACAATGGCCGAGGAAATGATGATGGAGCCAATCGATCCACTCGATCCCCATGCGCATTTGCATCCACATTCCGCCTTCTACTCGCCATTGCCCCATTTACCATTCGATATCGACATCTATCCACCACCACGACGGTCCAACGGACAGAAACCGAACGTACAAGCCACCGCTGCTGCTGCCGCTGCCGCTGCCTATCCGCTGCCGCTGCTGCCGAGCTTTGAGCAATTCAAGCGCATTACCACGCCCATCACGAATCTCTTCCGCAGCTCCTCGCCCTCCGGCGTCCATGCCCACGACCACGCCACCGCGGCGCCCAGCTCGCTGGTGGGTTATGTCCGTGATCATCAGGATAAGAGCTGCAGCCACTGCCAAAACGGAAGTCAGCCGGTGGTGCTGTCCACGCACCACACCCTGCACCTAACCACCGCCGGTCTGGCGATTGGTGCCTGCCAGGATCCGTGTTGCCTAGCGGATGCCCATCCGCATCCGCAGCACCAGCCCATGGGTTATCCGTATGGCGGAGGACCAGGTGGTGAGCCACCCTCAACGGATCCCGCGATGTGCGGCGAGTGTGTGGATCAGCACTTCTTGGGCGGTTTAACGGGGCCGCAGTTGAACTTGGGTGTGGTGCCCACCTACCATGTGCACACGCCCACGCCGAATGCTCATCGAAGGGCCAGGGGTCAAATGGCAACGCCTGCACCACCGCCCACTCAGTCGGTGCTTCGCCTGTCGCGACAGCTAAGTGAGGATGCACTGGTGGCAGCGGTTCCCATTTCAGAGGCCAAGGCTCAACCCACTTCGATACTGAAGAAACCGAAGCTGGAGCGAAGACGACTCTTCCACGAGGGTCAATCGAGGTCGCTGGACTACGATGATCTCCACACGAAGAGCTGGGGACGTCGACGTATTCGGTACGAGGATGAGGTGATGCCCTCATCGGCGGATTATCCCTATCCGCATCCGAATCCTTATGCCCACTCACCCACTTCGGCGATGTCGCGACGCTACGGATCGGAAACGAATATCCGGCAATCGTATATGGGCGCCAATGTGGATGCCAACCATCCGTTGAGTCACTCGCATTTCCTGGTAACCGATGACAAGATAGTGACCATCACCTATGACTCGGATGTGGGCTGGACGCGAAGGGGAGTGGCACCCTCGCTATTCCGGGGAGCTCATCGCCAGCGGGGATTGGCGGATCCCAGGAACCACATGTCGCTGGACTTGCAGCGAACCAGCCAGCAAAAGTTGTACGGACCAGCGGCTCCTTATCTCAAGCGGCGCAGGAATCTGCCGCATCCGCCAAGTGCGCAGAATGCCCACAATTTCTCACCAATGGAACCGGGTTCGGGTCTGGGATCGGGAATGGACTTGAATGCTGCGGCAGCGGGAATGGAGCAGGGCAACGGAATGGGTAGCGGTGGTGCACACAACACTACCGGTGCCAGTACACACAATAGCAACCACCACACCACCAATCACCACAATAGCCAAGCGAGTAGTGTTAGTGTTAGCCAAAGTCACAATCAACAACTACAACAACAACAACAATCAGTTAGGCAAAAAGGGAAAGAAGGCACCACCGCCATTAGCGGATCGATGATGGCATCGGAGCAGCTGACGAAATCTAGTAGTGGGAGCGGTGGTGCAACATCTGCTGCCGCTGCTGGGCATCTTGTCGTCGGTGGTACTAATGCTAATAATGCTTCTTCTTCCTCTTTTGCAAATCCCCAACCACCACCACAACAACAACAACAACTTCATGGATCACCCAACAATAACAACAAACGTGCCCTATCATCAACACCACAACAAAACACAACAAACACCATAAACAATGACGCCAACAACCTGACGCTTGACGCCACACAACAACAACAATTACAATCACAACAACAACAACAACCACCACCAAATACATGCACAAATCTGATCACAAATTCAACAACAACATTAACAACAACAACAACCACAACATCGTCGAATGCAACGAATGCGGCGACAACGACAACCGCAACAACAACAACAACAAATGCTACAACAACTGCCACAAATCCAACAACAACGAATAACACGAACGAACCAAACGCAACAACAACGAACGCGGATGCGGACGCCGACGCGGATGCTCCGCTGGACGCCATCGACTGGGATGCGATCGATGCAATGTTGGACGACGATTTCAGCGAGTACGATAAGGACAAAAACGGAGCCGACGAAGCGGGTGGCTCCAAATCAGCAGAGGGTGGTGCCGAAGATAAAGTCGGTGAGTAAATCGAGGCTTATCCCATCCAAAGATAAATCAATTCATTTTAAGCACTAGTCATAACAACATTTTGTGAAAACTATGGATTATAAAAAGTCCAGAGGGTTATATTCTAGTATTACGAATAAATTTATTAATATTGTTGCTATCAATTCCAAATTATTGATATTTTCAATATGCTACCTAAAAAGGTTTTCAATCCAAAAATTAAGAAGTGGTTAATAAATGTAATTATCAAAATATAGTTTTTAAAAAACACAATGGGAATATTGAGATACATAAAGTTATGAAAATGTCACTGTATTAAGTATTATACTTTGGAAATGTGACCAGTGACTATTTTGAGAATCCGTTTTTTCGGCTTAGTAACATGTTTTGTACGCTCCACAGATGGCAGCCTCTCGGACACCGCCAACGATCGGAAGAAGGGCGGCGTCGACCAGGAGCGATCCCCCAAAGGGGGCAGCGGAATGGGCAAGAAGTCGAACTCGACCTCGCAGCTTTCGGCCACAGGTAGGTTCACTTTGTTCCGTTCTCTGTTTGCGCTCGTTTAACGTTTCTCGTTCCGTTGCCTTGTGTTGCTCAGTCAGCCAGTCAATCAATCAATCAATCAGTCAGTTAATCAGCCAGTTGATCATTCGCTCAGTTTAACAATTATTCGTAGGTTCAGTCCGGAAATTGAAAAGCCGGCAGGAGCATCCTTATTATTTTGCTTTGCCATTCGATTTTGCGTTGCCCGACTAACCAGTAATCAGTAACCTCATTGCCATAACATTGCTAACCCAACTAACCCGTATATATACTATATATACCATATAATGTAAGACTAAGAAAACTAAAACTGTGTAAAATGCCGTACTCGAAGGTCGTAAAAGACGTATGGGCTTTGGAAAGAAGGGTAAGAACTCGTTCACGGTGCACCGCAGCGAAGAAGTGCTGCCCGGCGATATCACGCGGGAGCTGCGCAGCGGCGGCGGCGGTGGCGGCTTGGGCGTTAGCCTCGGCGGTGCCGGTGGCGCCGGTGGTTCAGGTGGTGCCGGCGGTGGCGGCGGCGGCCTATCACGCGGCTCGTCCTCGGAGGCGGACGCCATCGAGCAGTTCTTCGGCGATGGCGCCGGCGGGGAAAGGTGCGCACAAGTCCAAAAACTTTCTACTTCACAAAAAAAAAAAAAAAAACAAAAAAATATCTCTTCTCTCTCTCTCTCTAAACTCTTAACTAAACTACTACTCTACTCTCTATGCTATGCTATCAGTTTTTTCTTCGGTTTATTATCGTTTTGTGACTTTCTTTTTGGTTTTGAGTTGCCTTTTGGAGAAAGAAGAAAATCAACTGTGAGACGAGTGAAGAAAACGCCGGTTAGGCTGTCAATTGAGATGATAAACATTAGTCGGCTCATCAGTAAAGCGTAAAAAAGTATTACAAATTTAAATCGTAAAAAGTAGGAAAAACCAGTAACAGTAACCAGTAAATCGGTAACAGAATCCCCTCCCGCAAAACAATCCCCGTTCAGCACACAGGATGTTAGTCCTTCAAATCCTTAGATGTAAGAGCTTTTCATTCACTTTGCTCTCCGAATTTTCGCGCGCTTTTTGCCAAAGCTTCTCTGCCAAAGCTCTCTCTTTCAAACTTTCTTCGCAGGCATGGCCAAAAGTAAAAGTAACTTAAATCGTAACCGAACCACCTGCCTTTTCCCCCTCCGTTTAACTTGATTTATTATTTTCGACCTCCTTGAAAACGCAGGCGCAGCAAACCAAAGCAAACAAACAGAAAAACCCAACTAAACCAAAACCAAAACCAACAAACAATCCAAAGTCGATACGTATTTTTAGGCTTATAAATGGGGGAATCCCCCCTCGGATGTGGGAAATTCCCCCAAAAATAACGAAGCGGGGCACACCGAAAGCTTTGCCCATCGGCAGTTTTTCGCGGAAAAATGCCGGCCATTGAGCAAAGCTTTTACTTGACACACGCTTTTCGCACACCCACTGTGCGTCGGTGTGTGGGTGGGCCCCATTTGCATTTTACTTTCGTAGCAGCATACTATTACTATTACTAATACTAACCAAACCCGTACCGATTGCTAATGCCATTTTGTATTACCCACACAACATTTATTCCTAGCGTTCTGTTCGATTTGCATGCATTGAGTTAAGCCAATACCTATACCTACTTATATACTACTCTCGTAACCACTCGTACTCGACATACCAGCTACTACCAACTCTATTGCAGCCCCTCGATAAGTTATCGCCCTAGCTAAAGCTTGAGATTCGGCTTCAGCTACGGCTTTTTATTGTAAGCGGTAAGAGTCAACCAGCAATAATCCCCACCAAGGAGTTTATACACCTACAAAAAAAAAAAAATAAATAAAAAATACAACTACATTACAATCCGATTAAGGGATCTATTGAGGTCTTCGATTCCCGTCAGCGAACTAATGTTTATCATCTGCCTCCCGCAAGATTCTCCTTCAGTTCGATTATGTTTTGCGCAATTGATTCGGATAACTAAGTCTATATACAGGGAGCTCTGTCACAGAAAGTCAGCAGACATTCAACAACAACAACAATTACAACAACAACAATCAACACACCACAAAAACAACAACAACAAGTATCAACAAAAAAACAGCTGCATTATCAACAACCAGACCAAACTCATCTGAATAATTGGCCAAAAACAAATGAGCAACAAAATTCGCATTGCACACGATGTAGTGGAACAAAAAGTGCAGTAATATCACAAAAGCAAAGCTTCAAAAGTAACACTCTAAAAAATACTAGAAATATAGTACACAACCAGACGGGTTGAGTTTCTAGTGATGTAACGCAATAACTGTTTTTATTTACGCCACTAGTTTTCGATGATTTTTCGCTGATATAAAAATATATATATATACATATAATGTGTTCTCTATGATCTATGTTCTTATGGTTATTCAGTTATTTGTCTCGCTTGATTTAACCCTCAGTTTTGTATACCGATTTCCGTTCTACGACTCTAATCTGTCTCGTCCTCCCCTGGGGTTCCCAAAAACTTTGGGTTTCGCTATTTGAGGTTGGTGGTTTCCCAGAGCCCAACGTCGAGAAAAAGAATCTAGAGTCCAAAAAAATCCAGCGTCGCCAACTCACATCACCCTGCATCGTTGATTTTGAGTTTTGAAAAACAAATATCACTTTTTAAATTGGATTTAAAGGCAGTTTTTTGTAAGATATAAGACCTATTTATTTTGGAAATACATAAGATCCATAAATGTCTAGATACATTAAATCAAATCTTAAAATTTAATGAAAAAATTGGTAAACTGTACATAGTGACAATTGATTGATTTAAATGTCTAGGTATTTGTGGATCATCTGAGATTGTAAATGATAGGATCATCTATTAGATCACCACCTCCCCTGTAAATACGCGCACACACATCTGTATAAATATGTATTGTTGTCTCCGGCAGAACAAGAGCAATACCAGGCACAGTTCGCAATACCAGGCAGCTCGACCAGCTCCGCTGGTCACCACCATATCACACTACCACCACCACATCCATACCACCAGCGGCAGTCGCGCGGCTCGGCGGGCAGCATCCAGCGGTCGGTGGAGGTGCCGCCGGTGCCTCCGGTCACGCGTTACAGTGCCGGCAGCATTCACTCGATCACTAGCTCCGAGGGCTCATCGTAAGTCTCCCGAAATTCGAATCGCAATTTGGAGTATACTGATGTATAAGTATACTACCCTTCCCGCTGAAGGACACTCTATCTTGCCTGCCTCTGTCTCTGTCTCTGTCTCTCTGTTTCTGTCTCTGTCCTTGTATCTCTGAATCTGCGACTCTCTCTTCTCTCACTCTCCAATCTGTCCTTAAACTCTATATCCATTGGCTTTTGTATATGGTAATCTGTGTGGCGATCCCATCTCAACTTTTCCCTACAACCAAAAACTATTTCATCCTGCAACTTTCTCTTTAATCGATGTCTGTGTCTACAAGAAAGCGAGCCTGCATTTTTTCTCTAAGTGTTTTCCACTTTTTCTTCCTTGGTTTGGTTTTTGATACTTTGACTTGATTGTGTATTTTTCTGCCTTGTACTGTGTATAAATTGTGATTTTTTTAAACTTTCGTTTCAACTATGATTTTCAGCAATATCTAAAGTATATATATATATATGTATATAAAAAAAAGACTTCACCTTTCGATGTGTGTGTAAATGAAGGGACTAGATTAAGACACTAAAAGTGATTAGTTCAACAAAAAAAGATACAAATTGTAAAGAAGTAGATCGCTTAAGATCGCTGTGTAGAGAACCTGCTTTCTCTCATTTTAGCTGTTATAGGATTGTAATAGAATACTTCTTATCCGAACCACTCCGATCGTAAATTTCCTTACCTTCTCTGCACTTTTGCTCCGCGGAACGAAGACACTTGCATGCCACCATCGAACTGTGATTCTCTCTCCTCAGCACCACCACCACCAGTATCACCTTCAGTATCACCACCTATCACCTCAACTTAAAACACTGAACAACCAACAGCTAAAACTACAACATTTACTGTCTTTCTACAACTCCCTGTGTATAAAGAGTTCTTTCTTTCTCAAAAACCAAATCCTTTCTTTGTGTAAATTATGTTACCTAATTTTACAAAAGATCTTTAGATGAGAGATGATACAAGAAACCACCACCACGATGCTGTACTAAAGTCCTTTCTTTAATGTATCCCCTGTTCGAAAAAACCCAAAACCCAATCCCCAAATATGTAGATTTTCCCCTTCGTTACGCAATGATGGAGCCCTCAATGAGTTCGTGGATGGCCTGGGACCAGGTCAACTGGTGGGTCGCCAGGTTTTGGGAGCTCCCTCGCTGGGTGACATCCAACTATCGCTGTGCCACCAAAAAGGCTGTCTGGAGGTGGAGGTCATACGGGCCAGGGGATTACAGGTAAGTCAACATCTATATAAATAGTATTTCATTTAATATTGAACTTATTGCATCCTAATAGCAAAAAGCCCAATCAAAGATGCTCCCTGCTCCGTATGTAAAGGTTTACTTGGTGTCGGGCAAACGATGTGTGGACAAGATGAAGACCTCGTCGGCTCGCCGAACCCTGGATCCACTGTACCAGCAGCAGTTGGTGTTCAAACAGTCCTACGCCGGTTGCATACTACAGGTTGATCTCCCATCAATTTAAATTAATTTCCTTTCTTAATTTTTAAATGATTTATTTATTAGATAACCGTTTGGGGCGACTATGGACGGATCGAGAAGAAGGTGTTTATGGGCGTGGCGCAGATAATGCTCGACGATCTGAATCTGTCGAATATCGTGATCGGCTGGTACAAGCTCTTTGGCACCACCTCACTGGTCAGTTGTCCCACTAATATAGGCTTAGGCTCTAGGCGCTCATCCATAGCCTCACTCGACTCACTCAAACTCTAGTTCTTACCTAAACTGAACTCGACTTAAAAAAAAACTGAATTTTCAAAACTTAAAACGTACAAGCAAAACAAAAAAAAAACCTAAAATAGATAATTCGCAAATCGCAAATTTGATAAACAAAAACACTTGCATATATTTATATAAACCTACACACAGAACATATATTTATATAGTATTTAGCTCAACGTTTTGTTCATAGCAAGTTACCAAGAACAACAAATTATGCAATTTTGTAGTGCAATCAGTGGCAAAAAAACCTGTAAAAAGAAGTCCCGAAGATCAGTTTAAAGAACCAGCAAAAAATTATACCAACTAAATAGTATACATCAAAGCATTTGTTTTTAGTTAGCAATATACATACGCACTCCTGTAAATGAAAAGCTTATTAAACTCACAGAAACACACACAACAAACACAACTAACACCATGAGGCAAAGTAGAATGACAATTCGCATTGTGAACTGAATCGTTGAATGGAAAGTTGATCGAAAGCAAACCAATCAAAAGAAAACTGCAAACTGCAAACCAAATTAATACGAAAGTAAACCTTTTCGCAAGTCACCATAAATCACCGTTACCGTTAAAGTTACCGTTACTTCAACGTAGTTTTCACACAGACTCGTATAATACTCATATAGGTATGTTTCTCTATCCCCAATTACCCAAATCAAAACCTATTTTATAGAACCGAATCAAACACAACCGTTTTGCTTAGCATTTTTCTAGTGCATGTGTAGTTTAAAATCCAGTTAATCCAAGTTTGAATCATTTTATTTTACGATCCACACTAAGTTTAGTACGATAAGTAAATTTTTGCTTTTAATTGATTTGCAACGATTGCAATAACACTAATCTTAAACTTAGCTTTTGTAATACTATACAACATTTACAACTACAAACTTAAATATAAAATGGCAAATCCTGGCTAGTTACCTTAAGATATTACACTAAATAGAAACTTTCTAGGCCTAGCTCTTTTGAAAACCTATTTATGATCGATAAAAACCAAGTGCTGTTACCAACCAACTTTGAAACCACACCAGGGTCGTCCGATTGTTTGGGCCGGCGAATCAGTCATTATGGAGGAGCCGGGCGAATAACAGTTTCCAACACACTCGACACCCAAAGCAACAACCACCACAACGCTTAATTTTACAGCCACAACAACGAAAACACTTTAAGCACCCAAGCACAATTCAATTCAAGCGAACTCTAAACTGAACTGAATTCAGTAAGTGCACTCAAACAATTTATCAATTCAATCAATTCAAACTTAATCTCTAGTGCGCTATTCAACAAACAAACATTCCGCCACTTTGCCATTTTACACGCAACAATAAAAGAAAAAGAAACACAACAAAAAATACAACACAATGAATCTAATCTAATTAAACCCAAGTTAAAACCAATGTCAAAACTGCTACTAACCCACTTTTCCCGTTTCGAAAACAATTAACAACACCCACAGATTATCGCAAGTTGAAATTAGTTTGCTAATTGATTTATATATCCTTGCAGTAACCATTCGCCAGTGCTGTCAGCCCGGCAGCCAAATAGCAAAGGACCAAAGGTTAGCCTGCATCGGCGGATCCCAAAAAAAAAAGAGCCGCCCGATCCTCATTCGGCAGGTTTGCTGGCCTAAGCTAAGTCCACATCTGTTTTTTTTTTCTATTCTACCGCGAAGGAAGACTTTGAACAAATATAATAACAACAAGAAAATAAAAAGAAAAAAAAGGAAAAAAAGAGAAATATCTAATTTTTATAAGTCATGAAAACAAATGCATTTAAATGAACCGAGAACAGAGAACACAAGCAGAGCAGTAAAATGATTAAACGTAACTACGGAATACAGATAAAGGATAAATGTAAAGGAAGTCTATATATACATATACACATATATAAAGGATAACATTTGACAAAGGATACTTGTAAATTATGCATATTTAAAATAATTTTTATTACACACCTAAGATCACTATTATTTTCGTAATACGATTACTACGATTATTATTACTTAAAACTATTATTGATAAAAACATAAAAACCAAGAAAAAACAAGGAGAAGGTGGATAAAGATAAAGTTCAAGTGCTAATGTCTGTAATGCCTAAGCCTTAGCCTGAGCAGAGACGCAGAAGGATATAAATTGTTTATTGAATAACTAGCTAAATCTAAATCAGTAAAGGGAGTTATAGATTTTCAGAGATGGGAGTTATTTAAGTATATATACATACATATATAAATCGATATATACATAAATATATTTACCGTTTAAGCAAGCAAAGAACCACTAACACTTAAATAAGCCTAACTTACGATAAAACCGATAAAGTTAAAGCTTAAGATTAGGTAACTAAAATGGGATATGAGATATGTATTAATCGAAACCAAATACCAAAAAGCGAACAAAAAATATTTACCAAGCGAGAGATGAGCAAGTTTAACTTAATAATGCAAAATCTGAACTTAAGCTGTACATAGGATCCACACACGTTACAAATACACCACATCCGGATAACCGATAACCAATTACCGATTACCGATTACCGATTACCAACTACCGCTTCCCCGACTTTAGGCTTTATAGCTATTGTTTAGCTCTGCGCCCCGGCCAAAAACTCCGCAGTCACCCCAAAATGCACGAGTTTTTGTCGTCGGCGATGAGGACATATATATTTGAGGCAGAAGTATCTTATTATTTTAAACTTAGAGCAAACGAAATCTAACTCTCTATATGAATAAACTATATCGCGATTTTTGTTGTAGCTCCCCATCGCTTCACTTCTTCGCGCTTTTAGAGTCGCTTTAAAAACCCTTTTGTCGCCTTGGTTCCAATCAAACTTGCCTCGAAAACGCATCAAGTACCTTCAAGTTAATAGTGTGAGCTGTAAAAATCGTTACCTGCTTGCCAAAGATACACGTATGTACACGTACATTAGCATAGATGGAAAACGGGAAAGTGTTACGGAAAACCGAAAATAGTTTGCAGATTATTGCATGTTAATTTGAGATATTTTTTGGCATTTATTTGGGCAACATTTTGCAATGCATTCCTTGGGGAGAAGCAAACATATCACAGGCCTGCAGATAAATGATGGATGGTGGGAGCAGTTAACTTTTATATATACATTAGAACATAGGGCAAAGGACAGAGAACTACGATTATGAGACACCTAGCTATTGTTCCTATCCAGTTGTTTAGTGCTCGTTCTTTTTGCTTTCACTCATGGCTATATTGAGTTGAACCTTTCCGTCCATTCATTCAAATACACACACAGCTATAGAGAAACAGTTACAGCGATTGCAGCTACAGATTGAGGTAAAGTTAAATAATATATTGACATGTGCATATCCATCCAAGCAGCAGCTTCCTATATCAGAACTTAACAACTAAGAGATACGTAGAGAAAATGCCGAAACACAGGGAAAATGCATTCAAAATGTTGCTGCAAAAAAATCACAAAAACAAATCGCGCATCAAGCATACGAACAAAAAAAAACGGAGAGGGATTACGCGCTTCAGAAATTTGAGAAAAGTATAACTACCAGCGAGGTTTCCAGCAACTAATTATACGATATATAAGACAGAGGAACATACATTCAGATACATACATTATAGATAATCAGATTTGTACACTCCGCTCTTCACGAAACCCATACGAACTTTTCTATGATAAAACTCTCTCTATCTCTACCTTAATATTGTTTTCACTGCTCTCCTTCGGCAAACATTCAAAGATGCTTTGATTACTCAGCAAAAAACAGAAATTCCACAAACTTCGGCCAGGTCGAAGATAAATGTCCTTTGCAATTTTAATTGGCATATAAATAGAATAGATAAAACTGCAGTAACTTGGTACACTTAAAGCGAATAATTTGTAAAGGACATTTCTACCGTACAGTCATACCAGAAATTCTTATTAGGATTCCTATAGAATTCGTTACATTTAAGTCACACCAAAGACAAAAGCATATAGAAAATGTTAATGAAGCAAATGATATATTACGGCAAGTTATTTCAAAGGCAACCAATACAAGAAACAAAATGCTATTTACTAAGTTCAATTTGGATGACAGGCGACGTTAATACACACGATACACAAGATGATGACAACACGAGAATATATCATTTATTGCAAATGTTGAACAAAATTGATTAATGGGCGAAGGCCAGCGCTCTCGCTGGGCGCCCTGAACACCTTATATTGTATTTTAATATCTCGACAACAATCGAAGGTCGAGAAACGACAATAAACTGTGAAATGAATATGTAAAAACAAAATAAAAACACAAAAAACTAAAATTATATTAAAAATTGCGGAGAAGAGCATTATTAATATTGATGAACACAGAAACTTGAATTGTGTAAAACTAAAAACTAAAGAGAAAATTTAATGAGAAGCAACATTTAAAGAACAAAACAAAAGAAAATTCATTAAAAATTGTTTTCTAATAAAGCAAAAATTTGAGTTTTATTTGGAGGGAATTTTTTTAACTTCTTATATCTTAAAAAAGAAAAGAATTCAATAAAATTGAATTCGAAAGTTCAACGGCGGGATAGTTTATTTTCTGACCGAAATTATAATGACCTTTGCAAGGGTATATAAATGTGAAAAAGTGCTGGTTTAAGGTAATTTTCCGAAAAAGCCATTTTTCAGATCCAATTTAGATCGAGATGCTGATCAAGAATACCTAGTTTATGGGGTCTGAAGTTATAAAAATAATTAATCTCCCACCAATAAAAAACTCAATCCGTTGGGGTTTTACATAAAGCGGTGGTATTTCTTTATTTACCATTGATAAACCATTTAATCCGTATATTGTGTGTATAAATAATTTAAACATTTATTTTTTATATTATTAAATATAAATGTTTTTAGATGCATGCGCCATATCGGATACTGGGTTTAACCTTATTTTCATTTACAGGTTTGGCTCGCTTGCGCAAAAAAATTTGACCCAGGTTAATTAATCAAGTTTTTAGAGCATACTTAGTATTTCTTTTGGATATTTCGTTTGAATAATGTTTCAATCAATTAGAAATTATCTTACAAAAGTTGTTGTTTCTTAACTGTTGATATCTCGTATAGTTTAGTGCGTTTCTCAAAGGAACCAAGTTAATGACGACATACTAAACTATATTTATGGCCTACCCACTATCGTATCAATGCTATGAATTTCTCAAGCTGACTTTGGATCTCTTTTTACGTTCTCTGATGGATGTGCAATTCGAAATGTATTATATTACTAATCAGTCTTTATAACGAAAATAAATACGACTGGTCTTATGAATGCTCTACAAAAAGGATGTGCAATTAGCAATTATCGAGTGGTTGCTCACGTTGATTTTAATTAGATATAATTAATACCGGGTACGCTTAACCTTCGAGAGCAAACATCAGCTCCAATTAAAAGAAAAATAAAATACATTTATCTACTTACGCGGAGGCTCAATAAACAAAACCTAACAAGCGGGTGTGTGTATTGGTGTAAGGATATTCCAGCGTGCAAGAGGTCAAGGTCGAAAGTCTTGTGCGTGTGAGATATGTATGGGGCCGTGGATAGTATTCATTCGTATCATACATTAGATAATATTCATATTGTCGCTTTGTTACATTACATTTTACATTCATCTTAAACGTTAAGCGTTGAGAGACCATAGAAAATACTCGTACATATGCCAAAGCCTTGCTGGGTGTCTATCATCTATGCCGACTAGCTGAAGCATAACGTTTTTGGCTAGTTAGTGCCATAAAAATACGATTTACCACTTTACAGTTGATCCTTACAGTAAAAACCATACAATTGCTGCTTAAATTCGTATGCCTTTTGTTCCTTTTTTTTTAGTTTTAGTTTTTCTTTTTCGGATAAGAGAAATTGCTTAGGGGAAAATACTTGGAGTGCTTGCACATGATCGAGCTATGATATTTTATTCCTTTCAGATTAATATTTATTAGGGTCTTACATTTAGCTATAGATATTCATTCATATATGATATGATAAACTTTAGTTTACATTGATTACTTAAACACGATTAGCTTATTATCTTACACATTGTATACGAGCATAGCATGTATAAATATAAATATATATATTTAGATTTAGATTTAGACGTAGATGTAGTTGTAGTTTAGATTTAGACATAATTTAGGGTTTAATTTATCTGTTGCGTGGGTCGTCTACATACTTGAGTGGATCATCGTCAAGGCAAAGCAAATGAAGTGTAATTTAATTCGCATAGGATTCGGTAACCAGCTGATCCTTTGGAAGATTAGTGGATTTGGTATGGCTTCTCTTTTGGGCCCGGAGCTGTACAAAAACCGAGAGGCTAACTTAGAGCGATATGGTTAGGGATAATGCTAGAGTTCTTCGTTCCGATTGCACTACAACATATTCGATTAAATAAAAAAAAAGATAAACTGCTTACTAAATTGATGATGCCGTAGTGCAATCAAACTTAAACTTAGAGTAGAACTGCTTAAAAGGTTTTCCAGGCTGGGATTGCATTGGGTTTGCAGTAAGTCTAAGTTCATAGTATAGTAGATGAGCCAGAAGAGGGATTCCCCACCATCCTAGTGCAGCTGGGCCGTCACATACAATCCGCAATCCTGGTCGGAGGCCATCGAGTAGTTGGCCGAGTCCCGATCCTCCGGAATCGTGGGATGCGTCTCGTGCGGCAGCTTGGCGAAGGCATGATGACCGGCTCCGTAGCCCAGGTGTCCGTATGGCGACTCAGCCGCCTTGGTCACATGTGGCAGACGGCGCAGGAAGTGCGGATTTGAGTAGCGAACTCCATTCGGCAGCGTTGTATGCGGCTGCTGACCACCACCACCACCGCTGCTGTTTCCCATTGCCACGGAGGCATTGGCATAGTGCATGCTATTCGGGGTCATGAAGCTGGAGACCTGTGACTGCGGACCCATGGAGCTGGTCATCGCCGAGGTGGAGGCATAGCCGCCTGCACCACCGTTCCCGTTGAGCTGCTGGCTGTGGCAGCCCACCGGCAGCGGCATCGTGCTGCAGTGAGCCGTATAGTCGAACTTCTGCTCCGGCATCGAACGCTGCGGCGGCAGGGTGGCACTATTGATGACCGACGTGGATGAGGAGGCGGTGTGAGCGCCACCGGAGGGATCGGCATTGAAGCTGGACATGCGCATATTGGTGCAACGGCCGTAGGGCTCCTCTTGAATGGGCGGCTGTGGGGGGCGTGGCGGCGGCTTGCTGTTGGCCCGCGGTCGTATGATAACCTCCAGCTCACGCTCCTCGCCCGAATGAACGCCGCTGGAGGACTCGGATGGGGCACGTTCCGGCGGCGAGGTGGTGTTGGTGCTCTCGGTGGTGGAGGTGGTGTCGCTGCGAGGCGTCAGTGCCTCATTGGGAACGCCCGAATCGGCGCGTCGGAGGCAGCGGGGTGTGGAACTGGAGGCGATCTGGGAATGGGGATAGATTGATAGATAGAGAAAGACACACACGTTGGAAGGTCAGTGAAAGTGGCTTGTGGTGTGGTTTGGATTAATGAGTGATTCTAGGAGGTGACGTGGCTTGGGGGGTGGAAATCTGCTTCAGTTGCTAACCGTCTGCAAGTGAAAACGAAATCAAATCAAATTCGAGGAGCCAGTCGAGACGGAGGAGCTATCCATCAACCGGAGCACTAATTCGGACAGTGTCGCGTTGGTTTGCCCCAGACCAATCCGCAATCCACAATCCACAATCCCCATTCTCCAATCCCGAATCCCCATTTCATGTCGCTGTCTGTGGCCCTGGCACTGATTTATGCTGTCTCATAACAGCATCCATAAATCTCATGCTGCAGCTCTTGCTGCTGCTCCAAGGGGCATGCCACATGACATGCTACACGCCCCTACACGACGACGCATCATCGCCGCCGCCCCCTCGCCATCCCACATGCAAATCACAAGCAACAACACACAATTATTCACTATGCACTACGCTGAAAGGGGGAATACCCTCGCAGTGGGTTCACCTCCCAAAAGTCTGGGAATTCAAAATAGTTGAGTGAGTTTTTTTGACTGCCTGGTGAAGGCAAATGAAAAGTTTTCCGCTATAAAACAACTTTTAAGAAATATTCACCTACTATCAAAGTGAAAAGTAAGTTTTTGGTATTATTTTTCAGCAAAAAATTATAAAAGCTATGCATGTGGCATTTTATGCAATTTATGTAATCACAAGCTCGTTTAAATATATTTAAACTATTAATGAAAACCAGTAAATTTGTATATTAAATATTTTCAATCTCTGCAACTAATTAATTTGTTTTTGAGTTCTAAAAAGAATGTTACATTTACTTTGCTCCTAGGAATGTTTATTTATTCTGAAGTAAAAATCCTGCTATTCTTTTTCCTGCTTCCCCTAGTAAGAGTATCTATTTGTATTATTTAGCCACCTCCTTAATTGTTCCCCCAACTTACATGCGCTTCGTTGGTGTGAACGGCGACCGTGACCGGAGCCAAGGGGCTGACTAGATGCTGATGCTGGTGCGGATTGCCCTGCTGCTGGAGAGGATGATGCTGGGGTGGCTGATGCTGCTGCTGCTGCTGCTTCTGCTGGAGAGGATGCTGCTGTGGCTGCTGCAGCTGCTGTTGCTTTTGCTGCTGCTGCTGCTGCAGCGAGTGCTGAAGTGGATTGTGGTGGTGCTCGGGCGACAACTGCATCATCTCCGGCATCGCTTGAGGAGCCCGTCCGTAGATGCCGTTGTGGTGGTGGTGGTGGGGCGGCAGCACCGCTGGTGGTTGTGGCACTGGTGCTCCCTTCATCGGCAGCGGCGGGGGTGGCGGCGGTGGTTGCGAGTGTGCCTGTGCCGACGGCTGTGGCGGCTCAAGATCCCTGGTGGAGGCGTATGTGATGCTGTCATCGCGCACACAGGCCAGCAGCTTTCCCTCCTCGGAGATGTTGTCGTCGCTGATGCCACCCAATCCGCTGAGGTTCGCATAGTCGTGGGGATGTCCATGGGCAAACAATTGAGTCGACCGCTGATGTTGCTGCTGTTGCTGTTGCTGTTGCTGCTGCTGATGGTGATGATTGTGTTGGTTGGCCGACGACGAAGACGACGGTGGCGGTGGCGGTAGTTCATCGTACTCGGAGAGGTGGAGCAGGCTGACCCCCACCGAAGTGCTGCTGACGCCCCTCTTTATGCTGCCCATGGTGATGCCCACAACGGCTCCGGCGGTGGCTGCCCTTAGTGTCGCGTACTCGCCGTCGTCAACTTCCCCCGCAGCACCGGCAAAACATATCGAGGCTCCACGGCTCGTATGGCTGAAGGAGGACATCGTTCGGGTTAGTAAGTGCTACACAATCAAATTAAAATGTCGCCTGTGTTGGTTGTTCTCAGGTTTGTTGGTCCACTCAGGAAACAGAACGAATATAACATTTTTAACCTATCTGGCATTTATTACAATTCTAAGCCCCATTTAGTTACAATCAATATAACGCATTATAAAGCAATCAATTAAGCCATGTATGAATAAAAATACTAATTTCACACAGTAGTTTTTAATTACAAGCATGTGATATATTTTATTTTCTACTAGAACTAAGCTATATATTATCACTATAAATTTAACTAACTGAATAACTATTAATTTCACTGTTTCGGCTATTCTGACTTGTCTGACATAAATTATAATTATTCTCCCATTAAAACTAAAACTATTGCCTAGTCATATTAATAATGCATTTTTTAAAAGAACCTTTAAAGCAATTTTTAATACTTCGAAAATTCGTTCTGTAACCCTGATTTCATTTAAGCCCTGTCTGTGTTAGTTCAATGGTTTTCCGGTTAGTTAAACAAATTACCAAGGAGAACAACAAAAAACAACGACAACAACACGGCGACATCGAAAACAACAACAACACAAAAACTGCGAGCGCATTGTTTTAGTAGTAATTGTTAATTGAAATTCAATTCGCCCACACTCAATTAGCTAGAGTTAGTAGTAATTAAGTTCTAGTAAATCAAACAATAGTAAAAATAAATGAAAAGAATCGTTTTTAAAAACAGGCGACAAGCGGAACAAAATAGTTTCTCATCATTATCCTTCATCCTCTATACATACATGTCTCTCTATATATAGATATATATGTGGATAAATCGTTTTATTTTTTGTTAAGTCGAACAATCGTTTTAGTGGACAAACAAAAGCTTAAACTAAACGAAAACACAATGGTGGTTATACAAAATGGCGAATGTCAGAAGCACGCACGAATCTGAACTGAAGAGAATAGTGCTGGTAAATGTGGGGTAAATTAAGTGTGGTAAAATGCAGCACTAATGACTAGTGTTGGGCTATTAGTTTTCAATAATGGGGCATCGCCAAAAAGGTGGAACGTGCAAAGGAAACACACCGATAAAGTACAAAATGAATGGAATTAGCAGTCTAGAAAAACGGAAAAACAAAATAAATCACATGAAATTCCTGAAAAGTGGTGCTTGGTTGTTTAATGTTTTGGGTGATTGCTTTAAATTTTTTTTCAACTATTTCGATGGTAGTGCAGTTTGTGTGTATGTGGGTGTCTGTGTGTGTGTGAACGAAAACTAAATGAAACTAGTTGCTATGGTTAAGAGTTAAGAGAACGGACAAATACGGAGCTTCGAACCCGTAATGCATTTTGTTTGGTTGTTTTGGTAGCTAAAAAACGATTTTTTACCGCTTGCCATCAGTTTGTTCTTGGTCACCAATTAGTAGGACATCATCAGACGTACTCGTAACTTCGTTGAAGGTGACCTTCAGCTTGGGCGAACTGGGCGTCAATTTGGGCCAATAGATATCCTCCTGGGCGGCGAGTCCCATTCCCGTACCGCCCATTCCCCCATTTAGACCACCACCGCTCATCCCAAGTTCCGTGCTGGTGGCGGTGCTCATCATGTCCGGCTTGGAGTCACCACCATTCACGGTGGTGCTGGTGGAGTTGCAGCCACTGCTGCTCGAATTGCTGCCCGTTCGCTGGCCACTGGACATCAGGAGCGGCTGGGCACTGGCCTTTCCCAGCAGGCCGCCATAAGTGCTGTCCAGGGGCGGGAGCTTAAAGTGCCAGCGCCGCTTGATGGTCAGGCACAGCCAGATGACAATCCACAGCAGCAGGTGTGTCACCCCGACGAGAGCTGGAAAATCAAGCAAGAAAAGCGAGAAGGTTGGACAAAAGGTGAGCAAGTGCCGGTGGAAACGTAATACGGTTAAGACCCATCAGGCGTATGACAGCTTAATTGGACCGAGTCTGCGATTCGATTGTCTCGCTCCAAGTGCCACTCAATACCTCTCCTTTGTCTCGTCAGCAGGATTATCTATCCGGCGATTAACGCGCAGACAACCGCACTGCCAGTGTCCAAACAAGCCCGCTAATTGGCTTGGGCCACAAAACATACTTCGAACCGATTTCAAGGCGGCCATCCCAATTATGCAGATTTGAACCCCGTAATCAAATGGGGAATAAGACAATGAACAGATTTGTATCACGAACCCGCCGGCATCAACTATCTTAAACAACTCAATCTGAATTTAGCGAATTAAACTAGGCTGGGGTGTTTCCAAGCTTTATCTCGTACTTAATGTTGAAATTTATGTTTTGTTTTTTAAGATTTTACTAATATTTACGGAGTTTAAATGGAACAGTTAATGATTGGAATCCTGTTATTATCTTTAAGTTTATTAAAAATAATTTATCATTCAAATGTATGTTGTATTTAAATACTTTAGGGAGTTTATCCTTTTTAAGTTTCCCTTTGGGTCTCTTTTTTAATTTTGATGTAATGAAAACTCTAATGCAATTCTAGTGTACTTACCAGCCAGAAAAGTGGGACAGTGCAGGTTGTTCTTGTAGGTGGCACTGAGATCGTTGAGCAGCGGCGCCTTCACCACCGCCAAAGCAAGGACGAAGCACAAGGATGCGCAGTGAGCAAAGTAGATCCAGGTTTGATGGCTCTTCAGGGTGATAATAGAGCGATCCCTCATCCGCGTGGCCAACCTTCCATGTCCATACAAATACATGACCATCGAAGAGGCAACCACCAAGGCGGTGGCCAAAAGATACAGAGCCAAGGTGACAACTGCATTTAGGATTAAACCAGGTTGATGCACTGGCATCGCTTCGGCGTAGATCTGCAGTTTATACAGATTCGACACACCCACATATCCCAGAATAATATCCAAGGCGGCCACGACCATTTGGAGGCTGAATACGCAGGCAAAGGCCTTCGAGGTGTTCCAAAACACCGCCGGATAGCGAACGGACCAGACCAACAAGGCGCACAGCAAGTTCACAAACTCAGCACTTGGAGGCTGGGAGAAAATGGCCACATCGATGGGTTTGTCGATGCCAAAGAAGAGCTGCAGCATGCCGGCAAATCCATCCAGCCGGACGTAATCCTGGCCAGATTTCGGGTTCGTTGGTGCCGCCGGTGGTGAAGGGGTTAGAGCGGGCACGGCCTGGAATTCCCCATCCTCGAGCTCGAAGTCCTCACCCTCCTCGGGTTCCGCCTCATTGGACTTGGCCACAAATTCACTGGAATTTATATTGGCATCGCCGAGCAAATATTCCGGTTCGATTTCCACTCCAGCTGCTCTCTTCGAAATCCTTCGCTTCTGGTTCTTTGGCTTTATGGCAATGATCTTCGAATTGGATGCCGAATCGGGTGTTGAGGGAATAGGGATTTCCGGCAGAACTTCGGGCTTCACTCGATGGATGCTGCTGTCCCGGGTGGTGGTCTCCTCCTCCTGGAAGCTCTCGAGGATCGCCTGCTCGTGGGAGGCCACATGGTGACGACGTGGCTGCTGTTGCTGTTGTCTCTGCTTGTTGTGATGTTTGTGGTGCTTTCTTGATTTTCCATGGTGGTGATGCGGTTGTTTGCTACTTGTTATTTCCAAGGGTTTTACGGTTGTTGTGCTAGTTGAAGAGCTACTGCTCATAGTTGTCGTCGCAGCCGTGGTTGTTGTCGTTGTGGTGGTGCTAGAAGTGCTGGTGGTGGTGGTGGTGGTGGTAGACGGTGTTGTACTTGAGCTTGTTGATGCGGTTTCTTTGCCAAGGGTTCCCAGCTTTTGCCAGTTCTCCACATCCAACTTGCCGGCTGTGGTTGTTGTCGTGCCAACCGCCTTCCTTGGCGGCAACTCATCGAAATCGGGCATGATAACAGTGCCCTCCTCGCCAAGTTCATCCTCCTCATCCTCATCCCCGCCACCACCGATGGCCTCCTCCAGTTCCTGGCGCTCCTCCTCGTCGATATCTTGATTAATTAAATCGGGCACTTCAAAGTATTGGCCCTTGCCCGCATCCAGTTTGCCGATTGTTGTCTTCGTCGTTGCCGTCGTCTTGGCCGCCGCCTTTCTGTTGCCACTTGCCGCCTTATCGGGTCGCAGGTCGAACAAATTGTTATTGCCCCCGGCCGGCGGCACTCCTCGAATGGCCGTGAACATCGTATCGTTGAAGTAGTCCTCCTCGTCCTGTTCCAAACTGTTTGCGGTCAGGTTCAGTCTCGATTGGTGGTGCTGTTGCTGATTCTGCTGGTGGTGCCGCTGGGTGGAATAGGGTGGTGTGGGACCCACCACCGACAGGGCCATCAAATTGCGTCGATTGATCACAACAAAGTCCAATTCAGTGGCCCAAATTTGCTCTGCAAATGGAGAAGATGGAGGAGAGTTAGTGATTTCAGGGGTTGAGATTGATGGCTGCTCAAGTATATAGAATTAATTGCTTTGAACTCGCTCGAAGCTGGCGAGATGCTTTCCCTTCTAATTGGAATACATCACGCCGGATTACATGGTAAGCACCTGTTAAGGACAACAGCACACACACACACGCACACCCTTTTGCATAAACATGAGTGAACAAGATGCTTCCTGTCTTTCACTACAATCTGCCATCATCCGTGGAGCAATCGTTAATTAAATGAGGCATCGATACTTGCAGGACTTCCATAATCCACGCCCTGTTGATTATTAAATGCGAGGGGCTGACTTTCTTTGCCGGAATCTCAATGAATACCAAATCAAAGCGGGCGGAAAAACCAAACCCAATCGATGAGCGAACAAGACAATAGGGAATACAGTCGAAAGGCAAATGAAACACTACCCCTGAAAATCCCATTTCCGTTCGACTGCTGCCCAAATGGGAAAACAATGCGCCCAATTTCGGCATTAGGTTCTATGGACGTCCAGTTTGAAAGCTCTAATTAGGAGCTCGTCGAAGTCGAATACATATGTGCACAAGATACCCCTTCTCACTCGATCTGCTTATGGCGTCCATTATACAACCCCGACTTGGAAAACCGAGTCGATATCTGCGCCGTGGTAGCTTAACGCTTGCTCGACGGCCGAGCTTAATATCCATGTTTATTGCGGTCAAGTCTGGGCGATTTATTGGAGTGAGCTGAGAATAGGGGATTTTCCCCAGGATTTTCCCACGTTCTCTTGCAAATCTCTAGTGATTTAAGTTGTTGAAAACCCGATCAGGCAAACCCTTGAACACAGTTCTTAAGTTTAAGTGCTCTACTTTTAATTTACAAGAAAAGCATAATCTTAACATAGCTTAATAGCTTTATTTTCTCAGACTTACAAACTAAAATTTCTAGGTTTGTTTATATGTTATCAAAACTTACAAACTAATATAATATTTGAATAACTTGTTTGCGAGAACATTTAATGAAAATGCAAATAATTTAATGTGTTCATTGAAAGGCAAGCATCCAAATAATTAATCTAGGCACTTCCGTTGACAACAAATTCCCTTCAGGGTCAAAACAGGTATCTCTTCAACTCACCTACCACCAAAACCTCAATACTTTTCCACCCAGACAGCCCAAAATCCCAATCAAATCCGCCTTGAAGTCGCAAATTTGTTTGTTTTAGCCCAGTTAAGTCGACGCTGAGCTTTGTGAAGACTTCTCCTCCTGAAAGCTTTCTAATTAGTTTACTTTATGATGTCGCCCGTGGCAAATATATAGCACCTATAGAATGGCCCACATAATAAGGAAGCGGTATAGAAAAAAAGAGCGGAAATTTGCCAAGTTAACACTTTCATAAAATAATTTATTAGTCGAGTTGTTTTAAGAACATTTACCCAGCGGGCGGTGGGAAATAAAAGAAAGCTGGCGAAATGAAAATTGCCGAGCAAATATTAAAGACAATGGCCCAAAACCGAAGGACGAAGATGGGCGAGAAGAAGGCAACTCGAAGACCAAAAGAGATACAAGAACCAAGGCGGGATTACAACAATGGCTGCCATAATAATATGTCGTTGCTGCCATTGTCGTTGTTGTTGTTGTTATGGCCAAAGACGAGATGCTGGCGAAGCGGCAAGTGGCTCGTAAAACCGACAACACCGAAAATCTTAAGATTAACCCGGAGGCCTCCCGCCACATGGCATCTAACCAGCCATCCAACCACCCAACCACCCACCCAACCACCCACTTATGCCACCCATTCCTCCCTCTTGATTATGCCAATGACAATACCACCAACGAGAACGAGCGGCCGAAAGGACGATGTACGAAAAACGGAGAAGGAGATGCAGAAGGAGATGGAGCTCTGGGGATAAGAGTAATGAAAATGCGCAAATCCAACTCCGGCCACGCCCATCGGAGGCGGGGACTTCCCGCTGCGGTAATAGTTGCGATAAGACGGGCCCACAGCATCCAAGCGTTCAACCCACCTCGCCTCCTTCCAATTGCTGCCCCCTTCTGCAGCTCAAAATCGCGCTCGTTAAGTCTTTAGCATGAATAATGATAAGTTCTCTGCTGGAAGCTAAGCCAATGTACAGTTGCGGTGGGAAAATATAGTTGTGGCATTTTAAAAAGCTATGACTAATTAGAAAAATTTATAATAAAAGCTCAACTTTGTTTAACAAAGCAAAAAATAATTAAATTTAAATAATGGCATAATTGAAACAGAATAAAAGAGTTGAGAATTATAAAAGAAAACTCATTTACAGATATTTTTAGCTAATGATTGATTGACCCTTTTAGTTTACTGTTTCATTTAACTTGATTATTTTTTTGTTCTGTTTTTTTTTATTATATTTTGTGGTGCTACCTGAGATTTGTATTGTTCATATAAGCTTGACCGCTGCTGTGCGCAGAGTCCGCCCCCAACGGACATTCCGGGGCCAATGTCTTGAGCCACTTCCGGAGCACCCGTCGAGAAATCCACCCAGCGTCATTTCGACCCACCCAAGAACCTCGTGGTAATCTGAGCGAGCCTGTTTAGCAGCCTTTTATGCGCTCAATATGGCGTTGGACGGGGGCCTACTGCTTTCCATCCACTTTTCCCGCTTTCCCCACTCATTCTCATTAGAATTTTCATTTGTTTTTCGACGAGGATGTCTGCATTAATTATTTATGAGTGCAGGATGGCGTTTAAGTGATTTCGCCATCAAATTGTTCTTCGAAGTGATTTTTGTGTCATCTATTAATGAAATGAATTAAGGAATTGTGACCACTTCCTGTCTTGATTTATTTCCTTATCAAATAACTTTCATCTCGGTTTTTTTTTTTTTTTGTGTCGGCAACAGCTGCAGGCCGTTGAGAACTTTTTTATTATAATATTTAATAAGTTTTCGTTTTCTTTGAAATGCAAATAAGACAGTTTGGTGGTTTAGAAGAGGATAATAAACTTTAAGAGAAATCTTTGACTTAGTTTTGAGTGTAAAAATCCATTAAAAAGTATCCAAGATTGGGGAAACTTAAAACAGGAAAGATTTAGGAAAAGCCATTACATATTATCACTTTTCTTCCGTATTATCTTTTTATTGCTTTATTCTTACCACCTTAACTTTATTAACCCATAATTTACGGCTTCCAAAAATAAACACTGAAAATACGAAAATTGCTCTAAAGTCGTTAAAGTTCTTGGTAAATTTAATAAAACGTAATAATGAAATGCATTTGTGGCCACATTTTCCACTTCTTTGATGGCTTTTCCTTGCAGCATTTTATGCGAGTTGGGCGAAACTTTTAAAAGCATTTTTTATGATTCGCCCCGGCTAATTGCATCATATTTCTGTGGTCCCGATTTCACGCTAATATAAAAGTTCGCCTTGCCTCCCACTTATTAGTTTCCAGGGCCCCAATAATCAATGGCTGTCAATCAAGTTGCAGCAAACTTCTAATTGCTGGCTGAAAATCATAATTCTCAACTTACAGGCATAAGCGCATCATCGACCGTGCCGACAGGCCAATCTTGGCCAGCTTAAGTCTTTAAGGATGTCAGGCGCGTTGACAAATTGCAAGGGACACAAAAAAAGGGCAAAAAGGGAAAGAGGGAGCGAACCAGAAGAAAATAGAAGAAAACGGAGAGAAGCCAGGCAGCCAGTGGAGCGTGAAAATGGCCAAAAGGAGTCGCGCAACAAGCACTTAGCTTGACCAGCTGGCCCCTGGCCACCAATCCATTCCCTTCCTCCTTGGCCAAGTGCAACTTTAGCTTTGACTGCACATTTTATTTGTGCCAATGATTTTCTAATTTAAGAGCGGGGTGTGTGGGTGGAAATACAATTTCCCGCCCAACCATCGACCACCGTAGAATGTCTGTCATCGACAAGGGATCGACTTTGTGGGAGCAAACCAGCTAAAAAAAAAAAAAACTGCAGAGTAGCAGCAACAAAAACGACAACGAAATTAATTGAAAAATCACATAGAGAGGAGCCAGCAGCATGCAAGTCAGTCAGTCAGTCAGTCAGCGGGGATTTAAACTCATCTCCTCATCTCTTCATGGTTTTTATGATGCCAATCCAACCCATTGCCCCGCTGTCGATGCCACATTTTTAATTTAGTCCGCGCGGCAACGATGGAACGTCGATGCCATTGTCTTTTTCGCCCTGTTTCCACCGATTTCCCTTCTGCTCTCCATTTTCCCATTGGTTCAATAAACCGGCCAAACGATTCCGGAATGGACCAACTGCTGGCTTCAACTGCAACTCGTTCCCACTTTAAATGTAGTAAATTTTGATTTGCCTGCCGACGGTGCAGCTGCAGCAGCTTTCCATCATTGTTTTGCCTATCGCGTTTTTTGTTCCTCCCTTTCGCTATTTCAAACGGTTCATTTGTGGCCATTTAGCCAAAGTTTTGTATTTAAAAGGGCGTGTCTACTTTGCAAAGCGGCTTAGAAAGTTACAGCTCATTATAATCCCTTTTGTATTGGGATTTATAATGAGAACTTTTTAAATGGTTGATAAGTAATTGTTTGTTTTCGTTGAACTCCAAACACTTCTGAGAAAAAAAATGCCACAGTTTTAATTGGAATAGGTGCTACTGAAAATTATTTCGAAATTGTTAAAAGCCCTTTTTACTTTTAAAACGAATAAATATAACCATCAGTATTATTAAATATATAAATATATTTATTTCGTTTAAATATTGGTAATAAAATTGTCGCAATGCAATAGTTATCAGAACTTTAAAATCTGTGTGTTTTTTTTTCAAACTATAATGAATTCAATTCATTAAGAGAAATATTACAGGGAAGATGACAAATTGTCCTTGTCGTCTTAGAGGACATCTTTGTTCGGCCAGGCCCATCTCCTTTTTAACCGCCATTACTTTTTTTCCCGTCCTTCATTAACTGTGGAATTAGTTTACTGGGCTGTGAGGACGGCATCATGTGAGTCTCGGCGATCCCACTGTAAACAGGAGGAGAAGCAAGGAGGCACAAACACAGGAGAGAGGAGCTCCTGGGATGATATGCAAACAGAGGCCTGCTGATGTGGCCCAGGACTCATTCGACTGGTGTCCTGCTCACAGTTGGCCAACATTTGCACAGTTTTGGGTCGCTTGGCTGGCCGCCGTTTCGCCGTCGCTGTTGCCGTTTCTGTTGCCGTTGCCGTTGCCGTTTCTGTTGCCGTTGCCGTTGCTGCTGCCTTGTTATTAACATGGCTTATTGCTGGCCATAATGGGCGCAGCTCCTCCCCCTGTCAACCTGTTTCCCCTTCCCCTTCCACTCGTCTTCGTGTTTGGTGTGTACTACTAGTGTGTGTGTGAGTTGTGTTTACTCCTGCGGTTGTTAGCCTGTGTGCTCGCTCGTTCGTTTGTATTTTTGTTTGTCGAGCGGTCGTGCATACACACACATACACACTCACACACACACATACACATATATATACCGTAGATGTTTGGCCAGCAGATTTCCCCAGCGATTGCCTTTGAAGCTCCTGCAGTTGCCCCTGCTGTTCCAACTACTCCTCGCAATTTTTTTCGAGCTTCCCCCGTGTTATTCCCTCAAGCTCACTTTGTTAAGCGTCCTTCGGAGCATCCTAAACTTCTTGGTTAAACAGTTTGGCATGGCTCTCCCTAATATAAATTTAAATTGGCCTGCTCGCACACACGAACTATTTTTCCCAGAGGAGAATGAAAATTGCAGCCAATTTCAGTTCATTTTAAGCACAATCAATTGAATTAAAACACGAAATGGCAAACGCAATTGTGAATTGATTGCATTGACAATGGAAATTATGATTGATTTAAAGCCCACCCACTTCTGGCCAAGCCGGAAAACAGTCTGCACTCATGTTCATTTTAATAGTTGTCATCAGCGACAGCGCCAGTGTCATCGCACCATCAATATGACAATGTACAACGTGGCGTATGCTTGACAACAATGAAAGTGGGGATAAATGCCATTCGTGCTCGGCAACATTGTGCACGGGTTATTCTCAGTCCCGCTGCCCCGCAGGACTTCCTCTTCCGCGGGAAGTGCATAATCGACATGAAATAAAAAAAAATGACAATGTCGAAAGTTTGCGAACCCTTCTCATAGTATTTTTCCAAGCAAAAGTTGCAAATACATATAGCCAATTGTTTGCAGCAGCAGCACTATATTTTTCTATTTGAACATGATATTTGTATAGGTTATATAAATGATATTTATTTAGTTTAAATATGAAATTATTTAGTTTAAATAACTATCAAATTTTATTTAAATTTAAAAAAATATTTCTTTAAAGTATGAATTATTTGTTAAAATATAAATATGTCCATTTTATTGTCTAATATGTTTTAGTTTTTTCAAACTTGTCTATATTTGATGTTTAAAAAAAATACGACACATCTTTCTGCTAAGTATGAAAAAATTTAATTTTAACAATTCACACATAACAATTCCAGAAAATAAGAAACAAAATACGAATTTCATGTTTTAAGAAACAGAGGAAAAAAAACAATTTTTTCAACACTGAAAAGCCAGGCATCGGAAATTAAACAACATGGCGTCCGACATGCTGCACTTTCATTTCGCATCGATTGTGTTGCATACTTATGTGCGCCTTCCGCTTTTGATTTCGGCCATTCAATGTGCATGCTCTTGGTTAATTAAACTCACCTTTTGGCAGCAATCCGTTCTCAATGATGCGAGCCTCGAGGAGCAATCGCGGCAGCAGCAGGCAGAGGGCAATCAGGATGTGGACGAAGGCCGCCGTGGGTCCTCCATGGGTCCAAAGTGCCCGAAGGGTTCCACCCCGCGATTCCTCCTCCAAGCCATCGTGGGGCGATAGAGTACACCGCCGCTCCCTGGCGCCGGTGGCCAATTTGATGCCGTCGTTTGCCAAGTTGCCAACCTGTCGAGCAGTCCACAAAATGCAATATTATTAAAATGAAATATACATATAATTCGGTTGCCACCCTCAGCAGATTCAGTGGGCTAAAAAAGGGGAAGGCGTTAGAGTTCACATTCTCGTATGCAAATGATCTGCCAGTTGGTTTGGATTAAGTTAGGCAGTGCCAAGGACTTGGCAATGAGTGCTTATTGATTCGACCTCGCTTTCGCTTTTGCCCCATGGGCGGAAATTGAAAATTTCCCAAGACCCACTCAACTTCCTGCCAAATGTGCATGCATATGCAATTCAGTTCTCCCTAATATGCGGTGGAATAATTTACTGCTACTGAAAGCAATAAGTTCGAATAAATAATAGAAGTGGAGAAAGCTGGGAAAATTTAAATGGCAATGATGCTACTATACAAAAAATTTTAATAATTCCCCACTAAACAAATAATTTTTCAATTTCAATAGAAGCTCTTAGTTTTTTAAGGTCCATTACACAAGGTTGACAAGATTATGATTCACTATATTAATAAACAATAAAAAAATGCATAGAAAAATATTCGTTAAAAAAATACTTTATTAAAATATGCATTTTACTCAGATCTATACAAAAAAGCTAATTAAAAATTTTGATTACCACTACAACCCGATTAAAATTTACTGAATTAATGTTTAATGTTTCGCGCTGCAATCTGACATATAATCAAAGTGCTCAGTTACTATATCAATTATACCCAGTAGTTAAATACAACATCATTGAAATCGTAAAACCAATTAGAACTAAAACTTAATATTCAGACTGTTCAAAATCACAAATTTCATTCGAAATTGAGTTTTCGGTGATTGCGTTTCCTACAATTTACTGAATAAATTACTCAACTGAGCATTTATCAAATGGGAGAGGCATTCCATAATTGCCACTGGGACATGACAGAAAGAATCCTTGGTTCACCGCACAACAGTCCAACTGAGCGACAGACAATTTAGGGTTTTTATCCCTTGGGAAAGGGGCAATTAATAAAAAAAAAGAGTTCGCAAAATGAAAACCACTAAAACTGCGAGAAAGCTTCAATTGAACATGTGTAGAGCAGAAACAAAAGTGCGAACAAAAAGTACTTTAGTGTTGTGTTTGTGTATTTTAATGCATTTTTTATGCCCTCAAAATGCAAACACATCGCGATTAAAGCGACAGACTGAGAGAAACCAAAGCATTGCGCATACGACGCGTTGGCGCATAAACAACAACAGCAACAAAATAAAGGAACCGTTGCACGTGACAAATGGGCAAATGAAATATTTATATACGCGCACCCATGCAATATACATGCATCTATTATTTCTCATATATATTCTCACGCTCTTTCCACATTTATTTGCGCGAGCTTTAAACCAAATAAATAAAAAAAAACACACATAGAAGGAACGAGCATTAAAATCACGTGCAACACATATGTATATATAAATAAATGCGAACTGTCGGGCTTTTAAATTAAAAACAAGCAGACATCAGCATGATGAAGGAGCTCCATCTGAATCAGGATCTGAGGCGAAAAAGACCAGGAGCAGAAAATGGAACCCGACTCGTTCACTTTGTTTTGCTGCGCTCCGGTTTCGGTTTTGTTTCGTTTGGTTTGGCTTGGTTTGGTTTTGGGTTTCGTCTCGTTTCGAGCAGCAACAATGATTGCAATTTGCAAAAAGCGAAATGCACTCAAAGTGCTCACGGATAGCGAATGCGGTGAGTTGAGAGCCAGGCGGATAATGCATTTAAATGTGCAAACATTTCGCGGCTCCTTCACCGCCGACGAATCATCTCTAAATCATGTCACTGCGTATTCCCGCTCATTAACGTCTCAGACATGAAGGACCCTCAAGGATATATTTTAATTTGAGCAAGAACTCAAAACAAACACTGCAAAATGTTGATAAATGTTTCTCAAGCCAAATTTAATGAGATATTTTAATTATTATTTATCAGTGACTGTATTTTTGATAATTTTCTTTTGTTAATTAAAGACAAGTGTCATTAGTTAGATTTCTAATTAAATATCTGACATATAGTACAAACATTAAAAGAAAAATAAAATATGTATTTATGTTTGTGTCTATTATTTTCTAAAGTATTATTTTTATTTCGCCATTACATTAAACACATACTTTACTGTCTCTTCATATCCTCAACTTTGCTTATGGGAAAACTCGCTTCTGGCAACGAAAACTTTCCCGCTTGCAACACCTCAGCTTCAGTTGGTCAACCATTTAGTTAGGGGCAACATGCTGCAATCGGTATGCGGTCCATTCTGGCACCCCTTTTTGGATCCACTCGTTTAATTTCGAATGCTGTGCAAATATGAAAGTCGCAAAGTTTTCGCATCTCGTTGTTATGGCTGTGACAGTTTGCCAGTTCCTGCTCTTTTGCCCGCCTTTGCCAGCTTTCCCCGGCTTTCCCACCGCTTTTCCCACTTTTCAATTGCCCCAAGCCTTATCGGTCGACACATACTCGTACCCGTAGGAATGAACGTAATTGTGACTGGTCTGATGGTCCGTCTGCTGGCCAAAAACAAAAAAAAAAAAAAAAACAGAAAAGAAAAAACAACAAAACTAAGCAAAACTATGAACTTCTGGTCCTGGTCCTGTTGCTCGTTCTGATTTCGGGAGTCGAGTTCCTAGTTCCTAGTTTCTGGTAGGGAGCCGATAGCCCCGCCTCAATGGTCAATGTTGGGATTTTAGTTTGCAACCAATTTCGGTTCGTTGTCGTTGCTGTTGCTGTTGCCTTTTATTAAACGTTCGGTGACGTGTGATGAAGTCCCCTCCCGTCCCCCTTTTCCCCCTCGGCTGTCTGTGTTTTCCCCCTTCTCTTTGTCACTCTGCTCGTTGGCGGTTTTTGGTAGTTTTTCCCACCCCAAACCACCCGCTTTCCTCGCTTTTCATCGCCCTCTGTCTGGCCGCTGACTGATAGGCAGCTTTTGCCAGGATTTTTTGACTGCTCTTGATGATGTTGTTCATGTTGTTGATGCTGCTGCCGCTTTTGTGGTTGTCTGGCGGCGGTAAAAAAAGGAAATATTTGCATACAATTTGTATACTCTTTTGTAGTGTCAAAAAGCCCACGCAGCGATTTTCGTGACGGGGCCATAAATATTAATATGGAAACCAATGGAAAATTGCAGAGCTTTGAGTGCGATCTCTTTTTCGGTTTACAAATTTCAAGCAAAAATAAATTAAATCCTTTGAAAATAAATTTTATTGAATTCTGAACGATTTTTTATGAAGCCAGATTGACTTTTATCACATAGAATTACAATCTTTTTCTTCAAAATTAATTTATTTCTATAGCAGTAAAAAAAACTCATAATATATAAATAACACATACATATTAAGAACAGAATTTTCGCTTTAAAAATACGTGTGCCAGACGGTAAAAGGATTGCAAAGAAAGCCCACTCAACCATACTGTCGCCTACCAATATTTCCGTTGCCAAGCCAATACCCTTGCTCTAAAAGGAGTATAATCAACTCTTTCTGGGCAAGAACGGTCCGTACTTAATGGAATTATGCATTCGAGGACTGAAAGGAGCAACGGATTGCGGGGGACAAGCGACGCCGCTTGCAGCTGGCTTCCTGTGATAGGATCCCTGGTCAGTCTGCTGTCACAGCCAATGGACAGTCTGTGGCGGGCCATAAACTGAACCCATTCCCTTCACTGAAGCCACTCAACCCACTCTACACCCCACTCCACTCACGATCTCCCACAACAGAGACGCCGGCAGCTTCCTTCCATTTCGCTTGTTTTAAAAACAAGCCAATTATTTGTGAAAACTTTCAGATGGAGCGGGTGCAGGGAAAAACAGATATGGGGTTGAGGACCTGGAATGACAGCCACTATGGGAGCAGTCGTATCACCAGGACAGACAAAAAGTGGTAGAAAAATGGGGAGCAGACACCTTGGAAAATACAACACAAGATGAGATATAATAAAACAAATGTATGACGCAAAATTTAAATGTATTTCTTCAAGACACATATTTTGGCAAATTGTTATTTCAAGATAATACTAAAAACATAGGAATATCTCATATTTAAACAAATCAATAAAAAGTATTGTTCTTTTCTTTTTGCAGTGCAGACCATATTCACCTCCATTTCTGTGGCCCTCTGCATATCTGTCTTTCATTTTAAGTGGCTTTTACCAGAAACAAGGAGTGAAAGAGTAAAAGGCGGTGGAGTAAATGCCATTTGTCGGTGATTGTGTTTTTCTATCGAACGTTTGCCATCATCGTCTGCCATACACTTTATAAATAGATGATAAATAAACTACAAACCAACTATGTACGAGGTATGGGATCTACACTATACTCGTCGCTTGGCCAGAGGGAAATGAAATGGGGAAAACCATAATTGCATTTATTATGCTGATAAAAACAGAGACACTGGGAAAGCGGTGGAAGGAGCACAGACACACTCACTTAACCCCATTCACACACACAGAGGACACACCAATAGATTGGCATAACCATACGACGAGTGTCCATGTGTGTTTTCAGCCATTTTGCGGATCCTGTGAAAAGGACCCGCAACGTATGGCACTCCTGGTCCTGCTGATGCTGCTGCTGCCGCTCCTGCTGTTTTTGTTTGCAAATAAATTTAATAACAAGAATAATGCCACTAAATATAATTCACACAAACACAAAGAGCAGCCACTGCAGCGCCAGGGACAACAAAAAAAATTTAATTATTGAGTGCAACCCAGTACACTCACCCAGACAGAGGCCTCTGCCATAAACAGTTAATTATTGCAGGACCATGATCCCGGTTAAAGGACTATTTGGTAAAACAAAAGCGACCGTAACAACAACCACTTACCTTAAACACTGCCGATGTGAAAAACACTGGCAGCAGGATGAAGACCACTCCAGACAGGACAATTTGCAGATTCAACTCGGCCACGGGCTCGATTTTCCAGGGTATCAGAGAGCAGCCTACAAAATAAAGGGAATAAATATTCGTACATCGAGGTATTTTAGTAAAGTTATTTTAATTAAGCCAATCGGCAAACAAAAAGAAATGATATATGAAAAAAATTCCTTCAATTTTATTTATAAATTGTTAAAAAGAATGCAAACAGTTTCAAAATTGAGTTAAAAAAAAAAGAGGAAATATAAAACGCATTTGGTTGGCCTGCAAACGGAAAATCATTTTGAAAGGTATCTGAATCCGCTTCTATTCTACTAATTTGTTGCATAAACTCACCGAGGAACCTGTAGGCGCCGTGCATGGCCAAGTAGCCCTGGAACAGGGTCAGCAGGACCCCGTACCAGATGGACCAGAGCGAGTTGAGGTGCAGATAGCTGCCGGAATCGTGACCAGAATGCTGCAGACTGGTGTAGCGGCTCTGGTGGCGCTTCGACTTGATGTACTTGGCCTGGAGTTGCTGCTGCTGCTGCGTGAGGCTGCTGCTGGCGTTGGTGGCATTCGTCATCACCGAGTTGCACAGACTGGAGTTGTGGCTGCCGCCGCCCAAGGAAGAGGCGCCCGTTGTGGATCCCTGGTGCTTGCCACCCATTTTCGCTGGGGATTTTGGCTTTGTTTGGCTTTCAATGCTTCGCTGGCTTTTGTTGCCGCCACTCGGGTTTTTATCGCTCAGCGCGACAGCGAATAATGTTGACAATCAATTTCTGTCTATCGCCGCGCACTATTTATATTGATTTTGTATTGATTCAGAACACTGATTTTCTATTTACTCAAGTGCTGTTGCTGTTCCTGTTTATGCTGCTACTGATGATGATGATGTTGCTGCTGCTGCTGGTGGTGTTGCTGTTGCTGTTGCTGCTGCTCATGCTCATTGTTTTGGCCATTTCCCATTCCAGTGGCTGGCGGCGTGGAAAATATTTGTTCGTTGATATGGCTCATTATAGCGTCCAACGAAATTTATTTGCTGGCGCATATTTGTGGAAGCTCGTGTCGCTTTCCCACAGCTTGATTGACACTGATTTGCTGTGTCTGCAATGACAGAGTGGAAAATAGATGTGAAAATCAGTTGCGGTGAGAGCAAATCCAATAAATAATTCGCTTCAATAAATAGCTTAGAAATTCAAATGTTAATTTAGATTGCAGTCACAGATTAATCGCTATTATTTTATTTAAAGCGTAAATCAATGGAATTTTAATGTGTATATAAAATTAGTTCGTTTATTCTAAAAAAAAAATGAAGAGATTTAGTTATTTGAGTTGTTCTAATTAAACATTTCATCAAACAGTCAAATCATCACAATTAAAATACGACTGCACTTTTGAGTGTACACAATTTTTAATTAACCATTCAATTATGTAATTAGGCAGGCCATTATCAATCTGAAAAGCATTTTAAAAATATATGACATTTTTAAAGCCCCCTTAAGCCATAAATAATTAATCGTCGAACGCAAATCCGCGCCGTATTTTACGTATTTTAATTAGTCACCTACGGAGTTTTTGCTGTCGCTGCTGGCCAATGGCCAAATTGACGCGTTCAAATTGGCAACTATTTAAATAAGATTACAACTCCCAAAGTGGCAATGAGAATGAGGTGTGGGTAACTATAAATCAATCCGCTGGGGGAAATCGAGGAGAAATTGCAGCCCGAACGGTGTCTGTAAACCAATTTGGCACATGAGAGTTGCAGTTCCTGCTGTTCCTGCTGCTTTTGGGCGTTGGGTGTTGCATGTTGCTGTTGCACGTTACCATTGCTGCTGTAGCTATTGCTGCTGTTGCTATTGCTGTTGCTTCTGGGTGTTGCTGGCGCTGTTGACTGTCGCATAATTAAGGCAAAACCTTGTTGCCAGACAGACAAATGCGTTGCGAGAGACGCAGTGGGAAATGGGCGAAACGGGGCGGAACCTCCAGGGAAAAGCCTCCTTTGTCTGGGCCCTTGTGTTCCTGCCACATCGGTGGCAGCATAATTATAGGCCAAAAGGACACTCGACAAAAGAAATTATTTTACCAATCTAAATAAAATCATGAAAAAAAGGGATAAGCCCTTTGTAATCGCATATCTCTGTTTTATTACATTTTTTCACTCTTTCTTTTTCGACGTTGAAAATTGATTTATTCAATTTATGACCAAATTGATCAAATATCAAATTTAAATCAAATGGAAGAATTTAACTATAAAGCCAATATTGAGTTCATGTGGCTTTCAAAGGATTTTTCGTAGATTAAACAGATCGTACGTTTTTTTTTTAGGGGATTTATTTTGGACTGACGATTTTCAGCAGTGCACTTTACTTTGGCGCAAACTGTGAGGTGGGAAAACTATTTGCAGCTTTGCGTGTTGCAGTTGAATCTAACATGTGTAGAACCGTTAACATTTATGCCGCCTTTCAGCAAATGTTGCGTTTTGTTCAACACAACCGCAAGTTGGCCAAAAGGGAAATGGGAAACGCAGTTCCTTGGCCTTCCTTCCCGCTTTTCCGCTCCCCGTTTGCCATGCAAAAATAATAAAATGTTTGCAATTTGTTCGCGTCGACGCCGTTTGTAATTAAACGTGTTGCAACAACAAAGTTAACAAATGGGCGAGAATGCGCCTTTATTCGCGTTCTTCTCGCTGCCCAGTAATTGACCCGATTTAATTGATAATGGCTGTTGTTCAGCATCGTGATGTCAAAAGCCCAAACGACAGCGAAATGGCAGTTAAATCAGTAAATCACTTTAACATCTGCAGTAAACCATGGAAGAAGTAATAAGTTCGAAATTGCATTACATTCTGGTACAATGAAAGCTGTATTGTTATGATTAAAGCAGGCAGTAAATCAGAATAAAATATTCAATATTCATTTTCGTCATTTCATTGCTAATTAATGATCAGTTATATCCAAATTAATATTTTTACATGTCGCTCAAGGGTTCACAACCAAACTACAAGTTCATAAATCAAAAATGAAATTATTATCAAGTAACCAAAATACTCTCCCACAGATCGATATTTGTTCACAAGCTATATTCTGTGAAAACCCAATTGCTAGTTAATCCTTGAAACCTAATATACTCGACGTTTGAACACAATCTGCTACCTTATCCACACAAACTCCAGTGGCAATGCAAACATTGTCCTCCAGGATCCTGTGAGTCCCTTTCCGTTCAACAGTGCCTTGTGTTGATATTAATTTTATGTTAATTACAATCTCCACCAGACTCCGGAGCAACGAGTCCTGTTTCATGTTTGTTGTCTGCGGAACAGTGGAGATCCGGGGGCCATGTGGCATCATCTTGGGGAAAAGGGGGAAACGGAGGGTGGTTAATGTGCACCCATGGCAACTCATCCTGGCACTCCCCGGAGTTCCTTCCTCCTTCCTGTTTTGACATACTCGACATCAGATTAGCCAGCCGCAAAAGTCATAAATGCAGATGTTTACATTTCTTTTTCCCGCTCCACCTCCTCCGTTCTTCAGTGGCTTCCTTTGGGGCATTTCCTTTGTCTTTTGGCGGTGCAGCAGAAAGGGGAAGGGGAATGGGCTGGCAGTGGGTGGCATTTTGGGGTGGCTGAGATGGAAGACGGAAGGCGGTGTTTTCGGAGGTTGGTCGAGAAGATACGCCAAGAACTTTGCCCCTGTCCTTGAGGCAATTTGTCGCGTTCGCACGACTTTTACGCAGATGAAACAGCCACTTTATGGCCGTCAAGAGGTGTGTGAGTACACAGTGAGAAATCATAAATAAAAATTGAATTTTGAAGAAAATCTTTTCTTGGAGCTAAAGTATGTTACCCGTAATTTACTAGTAAAGAAATTTGTTTGCCATTTTCTAGTTTCAAGGTATTAATGACAAGCTTATATTCAAGTTCATTAGTCAAAATTTATTTTGTCCAGTGCATGTGTGTTTGTCCCTGGCATTTCCTTTGTGTGTTCTGGCGTAAAATTAAAATGTTTTGCTCTGCAAGCAGGGCAAGATAGCGCTCCTCCTTCGTCGTCCTTTTTTGCCCCTCTGCTGCTGTTAATGCAAATTAAAAACTTCACTCAACTGCAATTATTTGGTTAGCACAGTTCGCTCTGTCTTCCATACTTTCTTTGCCACTTTCACATACTCCACTTCTCACTCCGCTCGAATGACTCATTCTTTGGGGTTTTCTTATTTTGCCCCCTCTAAAGGCGCAGACTCCGGTTCACTCGAGCATTCCGCCCCCGAAAAGAAACAGAGGGAAAAGAATACAACAAAATATGCTAAATGGCACTTGGCACCCCACAATCCCCCCGTCTCATTTCCCCGCATTTCCTCCTCACTTTTTTTCCGGCTGCTTCCCCTCTTGAATTTCAGGCTCACACACATTGCCTTTGGCATACTCAAGTGGGCCACTCCGGCTAATTTATATGGGCGAGCAGCTTCTTTCTTTCCACTTCTGCTTCATTTGTCTTGTTGTGGCAGCAAACCCTTCTTTAATTTTCACTACCACTCCCCATTTATTTTTGATGACCGAACGGTCACTGCTGAAGAGCTGGACAAAGAAAAACATTCACAATTTCCATAGCTGTGCAATTTTCTTGATGCATGCATATATATTTATTTAAGCTGGCATTGAGATGGCTCTTCTGCTTTTTCGCCATTTTGCATAAATGAAAATGTTGCATTTCAGTCGCCGCATCATTTACTCTCGTCCTTTTTTCTCCTTTCAAAATCAAACACAATGGAAACTCGCTTTCTTCTGCTGCATCTTGGCAGTTGGTTTTGTTACTGGAAGCGTGACAAATGTAAACACACTGAGAAAAATGTTATGAGACTTTGAAATTTTTAAAAATAAAATTAAGAAAAAGTAATGAAGCAATTTATTGTTAAACTTGCATCTTGTTTTGAAAAGTTTATCTTAAACTTAGCGAAAATATTTTATTTATTTTAGTTTCTACAATGACCTACGAATTTTCTCAAGTTTCGGTGGAGATTTTCCGACTGCAGCAGCATCTTGCCTCATGCTGGCCAAAATTTCTATTCACCCCTCTGCAACATCGTGACTCACTTGTTAAATGTATTTTCAGCAAGAGTTGCCAACAAACATGGACAAAGGAAAAAAGGAGAAGAATTTATTTTCTGCATTGGCTGGAAAAACTTTTTGGCTTAGCTTGTTGGTGGGGGAGAAGAGAGGGGAGGGGGTTGCACGTGGCATGTTTTGAATTGGATTTACACATGTGCCGAGTTAATACGTGTTACCCCCCTCTTTACCCCGCTGCTCCACCATCTGATGACATTTTTTTCAATTTCAACTTTCCAGCAGGCAATACGTGAGTAAGCTAAAAATGTGTTGCCGACTTTTTCGGGCTGCCGGAAAATTCCCAACAAAAATTTTCAACAAAAATAGGTACAATTAATTTTGATTTATTATACGGGGCAGTAGGACCAGCACTATCATTATGTAAACTTACCCAAACATAACTCATAAACTGTTATTAAAATCAATTTCTTTTATTCGTAGAGAGTAACTAGGTCATAAATGCCCTGGGAGACCCGAAATGACCAAAAAACATGAAGAAACAAAAACAAAATAAAGAGTAAGCCGCATGGGAGTGGGAAAATTTATGACTGCAATTAAATCGCTACCAGCGGGCAAATAAAATTAAAATAAAACATAATAAACTATATAAATTAGAATGCGAATCGCATAAAATGGCACCAAATAAAACCGGAGCACATTGTCTGCATGTAAATTATCGCATCGAGTTTACCAACACTGCACCAACCAAATACCACCCCCTGAAAAACCAAGCCCCCTTGCCACCCCTTTCGAAATCCAGGGCAACAACAAATGAGCCACATGCCACCACTTGCAGGCTAAGCCAAATATCGCGTTGAAATGTTACCAATTTTGAAAGGGCTTAAATTGCGTTACACGCGGGATATATACAATGGGGTTCAGAGTTTAAGGGGGGAGTTCAGAGGGGTTGGAGCACCCCACAATGGCAGGGCTAACAACAACCACCCCCTCGCGGACATTCTGTCGCTTGCATTCCCAGAGTACACTTGCCCTCGGGTTTCGGGTCGTA